ACATCAAGAAAGATTTTAACAGGTATTTTGTTGAAGAAATTCAGAAAATTGTGAACTTAAGCCAAAATGTATGCTATAAGATAATCGATGGCAGCGAAAAACGCAAACGTCATTTGGCTCTGAACTTCAGAATTCGCTCGTTTTTGAAAAGAGCAGTAATAGGTAATCAAATGGTGTTCTCGTTTTCTCTGGCGTTGACAAAAGGCGCCTGAAATTATTCCCTGATTTAACTCGTCAGCATTTGATTTGACCGATTTGGATGTTAACGAACTATGCTTTCATGAATATATTGTTCAAAAATTGCTTCAATGAGTGCGGATTTCATTCTGAAAATCTCTTAGTGTGTTGATGCAATCAAGCCCTTTTTTAGTAATTCTAAAGGTCTAAGGCAATTTTTCGCAGTTCCTCACTCCACAAACTATAAAGGGGAAAGGTACAAGCTTTCGGCGCAGCGATTTCTGGGACCATTGGGTGGACAAGCGTTACTTATGATCGGTTAATGGTTGCCTTAAATACTAACGAGCAACCTGGATCATAACTAACGCCTGTACACCCAAACCATCCCAGAAATCACTGGAAACAAAGCTTGTACCCATTTCCATAGAATTTCTGAGGTGCGGATTAGAATTTCGCTACTACAGCGTGTATTAATGAAAATAATATGAACGAAATCAAGTTCGGCCTTTACTCGCCGATTAATTCTGAAAATATATAATCAGTAAATAATACGATTCGGACAGATCTCTGTTGTCAAATTATCAAGGACGACATTTACTGCTAAGCATAGTGTTTCTTCGGAGCGTTGCGTCTCCCTATGGCATGATGGCAGATTCGTGATTTAGGAAAGAAGAAACTATGGCACCCAGGGTCATTTTACAACATAGATTACATTTAAAGGTATGGCAAAAAACATATCTTCTATCGTAGTCGACAGGACTCGAACCTGCGCGGGGAGACCCCAATGGATTTCTAGTCCATCGCCTTAACCACTCGGCCACGACTACTCTATTCCTGTACATACTGAAGTAAGGAAATGTCACTATTTCTCTCTTTTGCGATTAAACATGAGAATTAAGAGCCTGTTAATACATCATCGCTCCCCGTCGCTGGGGAAGTCTCGCGAAGCGTGCCCAGCGATAGCAGGGATCGACCGTGGAGACGTGGCGGTATTGGCAGGCTAGAGAATTAATTGACCTACATGAAGACCAGAAAATGATCAGTGAAAAAAAGGAACAGTAATCGAGTCACACCAAAGCCGTTTTATCTCTCCCACTGAATCTTCGTGGAGGATTTACTTAAAAGTAAATCAAAAGGTTTTTCTGATCAACACAATGATATAAACGTAAACGTTGGAAAGTACAACATTTGCTTTAGATTATCACAGAGCCCGTCGTAGGGATGATTTATACTTGGTCAAAAAGATGTTAAAATTATATTTCGATTACTTTCTATATGCTCTGGTATCACCAACGAGTTGAAAACTAATTAAATTAAAAAACATAGAAAGAAAAAGAAATCAATCACAAAAGGATTATCCAAGTTTTTTTGCGACTTCTATCTTAAGAGGTTGCTCTGTGTTGCATACTACTATACGCGCTACAGGAACAAGGAAAACAATTTTTAAAAAAGAGTGAAAAAGGGAAATTCCTTTAGCAGAGCGAGGTTTTGATCCTCGGACCTCTGGGTTATGGGCCCAGCACGCTTCCACTGCGCCACTCTGCTATCGGCGATCCAGAGAAGTTCTTCCGAGTTATCTAAAGAGATCTTGTCACAGTCTCTGTAAAGCTGGTGTAGATCGTAAATGTCAAGACAGTCTCAACAGTTTTGCACCTCGATTAAAAAAATAGTGAGTAAGTGTTAAAAAGAAATACCCTTTTTCATTTGCACTAGATTTCAATCTGTAAATTCGTTTACATTGACTAGTATTCTCTCCTGGTTTCACTTTGCTTCTGCTGCTTTGCTCTTCCCATTTCAAAAGAGGGAAGAAAAACTTTTCAAGTTGGTAAATCAACACGGAAAAAAGTAAGTAAAAAGTGAAACAAAAAAATCTCAAAAATAAGTCAAGAAAAAAAACATAGCAGAGCAAGGTTTTGATCCTCGGACCTCTGGGTTATGGGCCCAGCACGCTTCCACTGCGCCACTCTGCTTCGCGTGTCTTTGAGAAGTTTCTTTGCTGCTCTGATGATGGTAAGCGCGAAAGTTGGAATGATAGGAACGCAGGATACGTTTAAGGTGAAGTGATGGTGACTTACTGTTGCCTTGGAATCGCGTTGGTATTTGGAAGATTTAAAACAGTACCTTACCCTTTAACTATAACTTTTATGAGATCTCATTGAGAAACGTTTCTGTAGTATAACAGAATTCAAAGTGACCCGTGTTTAATAAAGGCTTAAATGTTTTTTTTTTAAAATGACAAGTGGCTGCTTGAATTAAAGTCTTGTATCATTTGGATTTCATAAACGGCTCCAATAATAGAGACCCTGCGAGCAAGCTGTTGTGTTAGGGTTTAGTGCTTTCAGTAACTCTTATATTTTAAGTCGTAGATAAAACGTGAAGCCTCTTAAATTTGTCTCCACTTAGTGATTGCCCTGTCCACGTTTAAAAGATACGTTGAGAAATGTTGGCCTAGATAGCAATGATATTGGTGGTAGTAGTGGGTCAGTAGTTTATCCGCTAAGGTTTGCACCGAAAACACTTTATTGGCGGAGAGCCCACCACGTGACCTGCAACTGCCTACAATTATTAAATTCGGTTATCGCAAAATATCGTGATTTGTCAGTGTCTCGCAGAATAATTGATCTGCTCGCCACTGACAAATCACGATATTTTGCTCAACCTCCTCTAATATGTTAGAATGATCAACATCTTAGTCGTGATTATGGACACGTCTTGATGGCAAGTCATATTTGAGTGTGAGTCGGATACTGTAAGGGTTAACGGTATTCTGACGTCTCTAAGTCCATATGTATGAACTTTTGACGCTTAAGGTTGGTTTTCGCTAGCAACGGAGTCGGAATCATAGTCAGAATTGCACGGTGTTATAATTATATGATCTAGTGATACAAGTTACCCATTCCGCATCCTACGCTTGCCTATATTTCATGAGCCTGGTACGAAAGAAAACTTTGTCTTCTATTTCCAAGTCGAATCAAACTTCAACTACTTTTATAAAACTAATATTCAGTGCAATTTTGTATTCCTACCGTTATCAACAAGCTTGTAGTCGTGGCCGAGAGGTTAAGGCGATGGACTTGAAATCCATTGGGGCATCCCCGCGCAGGTTCGAATCCTGCCGACTACGTTCTGTCCGAAAGGTAAACACTTTCTCACAGCAATATACAATAACTACGACCGTCAGCTTCTTTCTCTTACTGTCTGTTGCACTTGCCCTTTAACAAGTTCCTTGATTGTATTTTTCAACACGGCCCTTTGCTCTCTGTATTTTTGCGCCTCGCTATTCGCCTTTTTTCCCACCAAGGATCCTAAGCCCTGGATATTTCGGGTATTTTCTAGTAGAAGAGAATCCGGCGACTGTGGAAGTGTTGCTAACAGCTTATCATCTCTATAAAGCCGACAATAGCCCAGGACGTTTCTTTATAATTAGTATTTGCATTAAAGATTCCAGATTTGTTGGTTTTGAAAGCAATGGGAAGAGTTTGTAAGTTATAAAACAACAATTTGGGCACGTTTGGTGGCAAAATACTGCACCATTTTTATAAATTTTGATTTTTCGGACCTGAAATTTGAACGGGATTTTTAAGAAACCGTCCCGTGACCAGCATCAAAAACAAAAAGGAATGCCAAGGAATCCAAGTTGCCAACGTTTTAAATCAGTACAAATTTAATCTTGACACTTGTTTCTCGGCTGGAGAAACTTTGAAGATTTTTTCTTCAGTAGTCTTCTTTCACACAACTGCATGGAACGAAAAACAACAACAACAAAACGTTATAGCAGAGCGAGGTTTTGATCCTCAGACATCCGAGTTATTGCCCAGTACGCTTCCACTGCATGCGGCACTCTGCTAACGTTAGTATAGAAAAAGCTGATAAACAACAGTCACTATAAAAAAAAAAAGGAAGCCTGGTTTAATATTGGTTTACTCTTGCATCAGCTGCTTACCAATTTTTGCTCAGCTTTTGGTTATCAATTAGATTATTACCAACGCGATTCCAAGGCAACAGTAAGTCACCATCACTTCACCTTAAACGTATCCTGCGTTCCTATCATTCCAACTTTCGCGCTTTGCTCGCACAGGCATCTGGGAACTCTTACTAATCGGAGCAGCAACGAAACTTCTCAAAGACACGCGAAGCAGAGTGGCGCAGTGGAAGCGTGCTGGGCCCATAACCCAGAGGTCCGAGGATCAAAACCTTGCTCTGCTATTTTTATTTTTATCAGTAAAAAAAATGCGATACTTTCCTCCAAAATCCGGAGAGAACGAGGATCGTACTTGTGCGAACTCGAGAATATTCGTTATTTTGGGTATTCCAAGAAGATTCCGTTTGTAGTTTTGTTTTGGTTTTCTCTGAAATAATCATCAGCAGCACATCTTGTGACATAAACTCGTTTTTCTTACTTGACCACCAGTGCCATGTAAGCCCCTGGCTTCATCGTTTTTTTGATCCATGCAATAAAGAATTATCTGAAACAAAGGTGACTTTAAAAAGCGCAACATTCGCTGTGCAAATTGCATTCAGTAAAGGGTCAATTTAATTTGCTTTTAAAAAATGTCTTGCATTTACTGTTTATCATAGCTCGCAGAACTACTTTTTCTAGGGTTGCCTCATTACATTACTACAACAACAGTAACAAAAGTGCGTTGTATCATCGGCATATAGACGATTTTTCTCTTACTCTGCATTCGCTTTTCGTTCACCTTTTAAAGCAGGGCTATCAATACTTTCCTCTTCATTTTTAATCTATTCACCGTATGTTTCAAGATTTTTTTTTTCTACAGGGTGTGTAAATAGGGTCGAAATAGATCATCTCAGCAATGACGTTTTCACCCGCCTTCTAAATTTAGAGACAGAAACGGCACATACTCACACAACGGCAATGTTTGTTGAACACCTTTGAACAAATATCTGAATCACTATTGGGTCGGTTTATCTCATTGACTCTTAGAGAACAACGCAAAAAAAAAAAACCAAGATCCGATAGCGATCTAGATCTATGTAGCCTTGAACTGCTACAGTTCTCGCTAACGTGAGGAGCAGTGAAAGAACAACCTTTCGCCATATTGTTTTTTCTTCGGACAACTCTTAACAAAGCCGGGTTTTTTCCCGGGATTACTCTGGTATCCACCCCATTATGAACCGGAAGTAGTCGTGGCCGAGTGGTTAAGGCGATGGACTAGAAATCCATTGGGGTCTCCCCGCGCAGGTTCGAATCCTGCCGACTACGATAGTTACCCTTTTAATTTTTGACTTTTTCATGCCACTTTTTACTCATATTAGGCCAGAAATGCGGCATATATACCCAGGCTGCCTGGTTTTTTTTTTTTTTTTGCACGTCGGGTTATTTACAGATCGACGGCGCGATACTGGCGACCTTGTAGTTCTTGGAAGATATCACGGGATTGGTTGAGAAAACAATGAACAAATAAAGTTAACAATGGACCCCAGCCCGAAAAACAAAGTTGCGACCCGTCCATAGGGTCCAATTAAATCAAAAAGTTCTGGAAGAGCCGCTGCAGGCTACTGACGCCATTACAAGCAGTGAAGCTCGCTTGACCGAACAGAAAGACGTTAGCGGCAAAGTTAACGATCACAAAGATGTCACTGATATTGTCTCTAATAAATGAAGAGATTTGTTTTAGTTCATGCTGCCAATTTTTTCTTGTTCTGGTTTCTATTCCGAATTTTTGAAACAACGTCGCTGGCCGCTGAAAACATCAGTAAGAACTCCGCTATACAAACACACAGTAATGTTAAACTTATGCATTAGCCTTTTTTACTTTTCGCTTCCGGCATCAGATGATCAGCATTTTGTCGCCGGTGTTATTCACTGTTTGTGCTTGACCGATGTCTTTCACGATAATATTAAACTGTAAAAGAAAAAGCATTACTGAAAACTTGCGTGTTTTTTTTTTTCTTTTTTTTTTTTTTAATGAAGTGTGACTGTGTACCAGCAGTTTAACTCTTACAATGAGAGTGGCGGATGTAAAAAAATAAAAATAGCAGAGCGAGGTTTTGATCCTCGGACCTCTGGGTTATGGGCCCAGCACGCTTCCACTGCGCCACTCTGCTTCGCACGTCTTTGAGAAGTTTCTTTGCTGCTCCGATTAGTAAGAGTTCTCAGATTCCTGTGCGAACTAAGCGCGAAAGTTGGAATGATAGGAACGCAGGATACGTTTGAGGTGAAGTGATGTTGACTTACTGTTGCCTTGGAATCGCGTTGGTATTTGGAAGATTTAAAACAGTACCTTACCCTTTAACTATAACTTTTATGAGATCTCATTGAGAAACGTTTCTTTAGTATAACAGAATTCAAAGTGACCCGCGTTTAATAAAGGCGTTAAATGTTTTTTTTAATGACAAGTTGCTGCTTGAATTAAAGTCTTGCATATTTGGATTTCATAAACGGCTTCAACAACAGAGAGCCTGCGAGCAAGCTGTTGTGTTAGGGTTTGGTGCTTTCAGTAACTTTTATATTTAAAGTCGTAGGTGAAACGTAAAGCCTCTTAAATTTTTCTCCACTTAATGATTGTCCTGTCCACGTTTAAAAGATACGTTGAGAAATGTTGGTCTAGATAGCAATGATATTAGTGGTAGTAGTGGGTCAATAGTTCATCCTCTAAGGTTTGCATGAATGAGTTACAGGTTATCTAGCGCCGGAAAAACTTTATTGGCAGAGAACCCACCACGTAACCTGCAACTGCCTACAATTATTGAACTCGGTTATCACAAAATACCGTGATTTGTCAGTATCTCGTGGAATAATTGATCTGCTTGCCACTACAAATCACGATATTTTGCTCAACCTCGTTTAATATGTGTCAGAATGATCAACATCTTAGTCGTGATTATGGACACGTCTTGATGGCAAGTCATATTTGAGTCTGATTCGGATAATTACTGTAAGGTTTAACGGTATACTGACGTCTCTAAGTCCACGTGTATGAACTTTTGACGCTTAAGGCTGGTTTTCGCTGGCGACGGATTCGGAATCGTAGTCAGAAGTGCACGGTGTTATAATTATATGATCTAATGATACAGGCTACCCATTCCGCATACTACGCTTGCCTGTATGTCTTCTATTTCCAAGTCGAATCAAACTTCAACTACTTGTACAAAACTAATATTCAATGCAATTTGTTATTCGTACCGTTAAGTACAAGCTTGTAGTCGTGGCCGAGAGGTTAAGGCGATGGACTTGAAATCCATTGGGGTTTCCCCGCGCAGGTTCGAATCCTGCCGACTACGTTTTGTCGCGAAATTTAAACACTTTTTCACAGCAATAACTACGACCGTCAGCTTCTTTTTCTTGCTATCTGTTGCACTTGCCCTGTAACAGGTTCCACGATTGTATTTTTCAACACGGCCCTTTGCTCGCTTTATTTTTGCGCCTCGTTATTCGCCTTTTCCCCTCCAAGGATTCTGGGCCCTGGATATTTCGGGTATTTTCTAGTAGAAGAGAATCCGGCGACTGTGGTAGTGCTGCTAACAGCTTATCATCTCTATAAAGCCGACAATAGCCCAGGACGTTTCTTTAGTATTTGCATTAAAGATTCCAGATTTGTTGGTTTTGAAAGCAATGGGAAGAGTTTGTAAGTTATAAAACAACAATTTGGGCAAGTTTGGTGGCAAAATAATGCACCATTTTTATAGATTTTGATTTTTCGGGCCTGAAATTTGAACGGGATTTTTAAGAAACGCTCCTTTGACCAACATCAAAAACAAAAAGGAATACCGAGGAATCCAAGTTGCCAACGTTTTAAATCGGTACATATTTAATCTTGACACTTGTTTCTCGGCTGGAGAAACTTCGTAGATTTTTTCTTCAGTAGTCTTCTTTTACACAACTGCATAGAACGAAAAACAACAGCAACAGAACGTTATAGCAGAGCGAGGTTTTGATCCTCAGACATCCGAGTTATGGCCCAGTACGCTTCTGGTGAATGCGTCACTCTGTCGACGTTAGTATAGAAAAAGCTGATAAACAACAGCCACCATAAAAAAGAAAAAAGAAGCCTGGTTTAATATTGGTTTACTGTTGCATCAGCTGCTTACCAATTTTTGCTCAGCTTTTGGTTATCATAAATAGATTTTTACCAACGGGATTCCAAGGCAACAGTAAATCACCATCACTTCACCTTAAACGTACCCTGTGTTCCTATCATTCCAACTTTCGCGCTTTGCTCGCACAGGCATCTGGGAACTCTTACTAATCGGAGCAGCAAAGAAACTTCTCAAAGACACGCGAAGCAGAGTGGCGCAGTGGAAGCGTGCTGGGCCCATAACCCAGAGGTCCGAGGATCAAAACCTCGCTCTGCTATTTTTATTTTTATTTTTATCAGTAAAAAAAATGCGATACTTTCCTCCAAAATCCGGAGAGAACGCGGATCGTACTTGTGCGAACTCGAGAATATTCGTTATTTTGGGTATTCCAAGAAGATTCCGTTTGTAGTTTTGTTTTGGTTTTCTCTCAAATAATCATCAGCAGCACATCTTGTGACATAACCCGTTTTTCTTGCTTGACCACCAGTGCCATGTAAGCCCCCGGGTTCATCGTTTTTTTTGATCCATGCAATAAAGAATTATCTGAAACAAAGGTGACTTTAAAAAGCGCAACATTCGCTGTGCAAATTGCATTCAGTAAAGGGTCAATTTAATTTGCTTTTAAAAAATGTCTTGCATTTACTGTTTATCATAGCTCGCAGAACTACTTTTTCTAGGGTTGCCTCATTACATTACTACAACAACAGTAACAAAAGTGCGTTGTATCATCGGCATATAGACGATTTTTCTCTTACTCTGCATTCGCTTTTCGTTCACCTTTTAAAGCAGGGCTATCAATACTTTCCTCTTCATTTTTAATCTATTCACCGTATGTTTCAAGATTTTTTTTTTCTACAGGGTATGTAAATAGGATCGAAATAGATCATCTCAGCAATGACGTTTTCACCCGCCTTCTAAATTTAGAGACAGAAACGGCACATACTCACACCACGGCACTGTTTGTTGAACACCTTTGAACAAATATCTGAATCACTATTGGGTCGGTTTATCTCATTGACTCTTAGAGAACAACGCAAAAAAAAAAAACCAAGATCCGATAGCGATCTAGATCTATGTAGCCTTGAACTGCTACAGTTCTCGCTAACGTGAGGAGCAGTGAAAGAACAACCTTTCGCCATATTGTTTTTTCTTCGGACAACTCTTAACAAAGCCGGGTTTTTTCCCGCGATTACTCTGGTATCCACCCCATTATGAACCGGAAGTAGTCGTGGCCGAGTGGTTAAGGCGATGGACTAGAAATCCATTGGGGTCTCCCCGCGCAGGTTCGAATCCTGCCGACTACGATAGTTACCCTTTTAATTTTTGACTTTTTCATGCCACTTTTTACTCATATTAGGCCAGAAATGCGGCATATATACCCAGGCTGCCTGGTTTTTTTTTTTTTTTGCACGTCGGGTTATTTACAGATCGACGGCGCGATACTGGCGACCTTGTAGTTCTTGGGAGATATCACGGGATTGGTTGAGAAAACAATGAACAAATAAAGTTAACAATGGACCCCAGCCCGAAAAACAAAGTTGCGACCCGTCCATAGGGTCCAATTAAATCAAAACGTTCTGAAAGAGCCGCTGCAGGCTACTGACGCCATTACAAGCAGTGAAGCTCGCTTGACCGAACAGAAAGACGTTAGCGGCAAAGTTAACGATCACAAAGATGTCACTGATATTGTCTCTAATAAATGAAAAGATTTGTTTTAGTTCATGCTGCCAATTTTTTCTGGATCTGGTCTCTATTTCCAATTTTTGAAACAACGTCGCTGGCCGCTGAAAACATCAGTAAGAACTCCGCTATACAAACACACAGTAATGTTAAACTTATGCATTAGCCTTTTTTACTTTTCGCTTCCGGCATCAGATGATCAGCATTTTGTCGCCGGTGTTATTCACTGTTTGTGCTTGACCGATGTCTTTCACGATAATATTAAACTGTAAAAGAAAAAGCATTACTGAAAACTTGCGTGTTTTTTTTTTTTTTTTTTTTTTTTTTTTTTTTTTTTTTTAATGAGTTGTGACTTTGTCCCAGCAGTTTAACTCTTACAATGAGAGTGGCGAAAGAAAAAAAAATAGAAATAGCAGAGCGAGGTTTTGATCCTCGGACCTCTGGGTTATGGGCCCAGCACGCTTCCACTGCGCCACTCTGCTTCGCGTGTCTTTGAGAAGTTTCTTTGCTGCTCTGATTAGTGAGAGTTCCCAGATGACTGTGTGAAAGCGCAAAAGTTGGAATGATAGGAACGCAGGGTACATTTCAAGTGAAGTGATGGTGACTTACTGTTGCCTTGGAATCCCGTTGGTATATGGAAGATTTAAAACCCCTGAGTACCTTGCCGTTTAACAATACCTTTTATAAAACGGTAATTCACGTCTCAAGCACGATTCCGATGCAACACGTGACTGCTACACCAAGCGTCTTAGCCTTTAACAAGTGTGACTGATTTTACGCTGCACCAAAATTCGGGCTTGGTCGCAGAGGAATCCTTGATACCAAGGCCAAATAAAACGCTTCTCAAACTAAGATAAACTCTACCAACCTGAGTTCATAAGCCCGGGGATCTGAGGATCAAAACCTCGCTCTGGTAGGCTTTATTATCACTGATAAATATATTTTTAACTTTTCGCTGTTTTTATTGACCCTTGCGAACCCCAATGTACGAAGACCAGAACCTTGCTCAGCTGAAGGGGTTTTATATTGTCGAAATGTGTTTACAATTTGAAATAGGCTTTTAGTTAGTATAATTAACTTCAATTTTACCTTGCGGCATAAGAAAATCGTATTCTCAAAATTAAAGCCAAAGAACTAGTTCAGTTCTAATCGGACATCTGTGCATCTCATTGTTTCCAGTATATATTTCTGCAAAACTGATAATTCAGTCATTGTTCAATTTCTGCGATCTTACGACACAAGGACTTTTCGTCCATTTCCTAGGAAATTGTCTGTTCTTGTACACCCTAACTTACCAGGAAAAGAAGAGAAAAAAGAGGGAAGCAAAAATAGCAGAGCGAGGTTTTGATCCTCGGACCTCAGGGACCTCAGGTCGCAGCACACTTCCACTGCGCCACTCTGCTTTCCATGGGCCCCTGCTAAAAAGTATAAGAGAACGGCTATTTACATTAATAGGACATTTGCACGATGACGATATTTGACTACAACTACCAGAATTCATTTCGGTTTTGCTTTGTTATTTAAATTTGTCAATCCCGCTGAGGATTAAAGAACAATAGCCTTAATTTGCACAAGAAAACAGAAAACTCAAGGATTCTAGTAGTTGTTATAAACTGACGTCATCGTGCAATTGTCCTATTATCACGCTGGAATCGCCCTGCAATCATTGTTATGATTATTATTTTTTAAACCTTATGAAAATAAATAAAGAAAAAGAATGACGGTAGGAAAATGAATCATACGTAAAAGTTTTGAATTCACTATTTTCACATTGGTGCCAGGCACCTTGGTTGGCCTCCTAAATTTAGTACAAGGATTGTATTTAATGCTTTCTGGGTATTAGAAGTTAAAAACAATGCTGAAGCAACATTTTAACGGTAATCAAGAAGTATTTTCGGTAATGTGAAAATATTGAATAAAAAAAGCGTTTGGGTTGCCTATAGTTACAATAGAGCTCATTAAGACAACAACTGAATTTTTACTATCAGTTTCTAATTGCTTCTTAGTTTATGATAATTGTGTTTTATCTTTTTCCACAGGACTACATTGTGTTTCTGCCAGAGGATTATTACAAGGCTAAACTTCTCAAAGATGTTTCCTCAGAGCCATGTTTGCTGCGAACCTCAAAGCCCGAACACTGCGATATGTACACGTATTATGAGCCTAAAAGCCCGTCGATCATCACCGTGTCTGGGGACAAGGCATATACGCTTCCATTAAAAGGAAACCCTGATATATTTATAGATCCGCGATTTGATTTAAGGGACCAAAGGCTGTCTAATATGGCATTGTTGGGTAACATTCAGGTAATACTGTATTCTGGTTTTACTGTCCTCGAAGTAAGATGTAATAAGGCACGCAATGCGTACATGTGTCTACTAGTATGCTGTAAAGGATGAGAGGAGATCGATGTAATAGAATACACGATGCATAAATATGTCTGATGATGTGCTGTAATGAAAAACGTTCATACGTAGAGGTCTTTGCCAGAGTACCTTAAACCTCGTTAATTCGGTCACAAAAAGAACAGATCCTACTTTCCGCATTACCTTTTTATAAAGGGAGGTATCTTAGGCAACAAGTTAATTGTCCATTACAGTAGTGTGGGAGTATGATTGAAGTGCCTGCAATGTAAGGAAAGGTTTAACTAGGCAATCAAACATCCTTAATGCGAACAGGAAAGGAACAGATCCAAATTTCCTCATACATAGGTGTCCTTATTATAGAAGTAGGCATTGAATGACTTTTTGTATCTTTGGCACAAGTTCAAAAACACGTTAATTCATAACGAAAAAAACAAAAGAAATTAATGTTTAACGAGTATCTTTATATGTGATAAAGGTACGGCTAAATTTTACGTCCATTTTTTTAGACCAAAATAACCCCAAATCTAAATATTAGTGCAAGAATGAGTTGATCTATATCAGGAATTTTGAAGCCGTCCAAAAAACTCGCAGTCAGGTTTAAAACCCCCGTCTTCGCCTCCGAGTTTTTAATCCTGTAATACACTCCTCGTTTTTTAAACAGAACGTAAATTGTCTGTTATGATATAGATATGTGTGCGTATTATACTTATTGTACGTAGTAACTGTAAAAAGAGACATTCAACTTTACATTCAAACCACCTTTCGACGGACAACAAATGGGGAACACAGAAGTGTCCTGGTAACATACAGGTGTGAAATGCCGCATGACACTTGGTGTCCTTGAAGAGACCAAGGAAACTGAAAGCAGCGTCTTGAGTTTGCTCTTTGACAGAAAAGTCAATCCGGAATTTATTGAAAATTCCCCGGCGCCATCTCCCGAGACTAATGTTCTTTTTAAACAATTTTTAAGCCTTCCATAGGATTTGATATCTCAGTGCCGGAATCCGGTCATTACGTCATCATGGTGACGTATCTCCACCCAGAGAGATTTACTCAGCGTGCGTTTGTTAGAGTAGGATATGAACGAGGACATCTGGAGATATTACCTTGTAAATACCAGTTTGCCTGCCGTCAGTTTGCTATGGATGACAATAAGAAGCCCAAGTCCTTTGAGTTGACGGCCTCTCCAGACAAACATGAACTGAAACTGGAAAGTTCGGTGTCATCAAAAATTGCCGTGGTAGGTATTACATAAATCGTTGTTCTCACAGAAACATGACATAAAAAGATCTAGAGGTGGGGGCTGGAAAAACCAAGGCTATGTAGACACTATACCCGATAGCTTTTCATGTTGACATGAAAAATTCTCCGGCCTGATATGAACAGAAACGGCCCAGAACTGGAACAACTCATTTACTCACATCGAGCATTGTAACAGTAGGGCAGTTGGCCGAGGGTTTGGTGGGATAAAAATCGTCACTCTTATTTTACTTCCGTCTCAGCGGGTTATAGGCCTCGCTCTTACCCATTTACTTCTGCTACGATTTCAATACCACCGCCACAAACAATGGCATAGAAACCAATCTGATATGTGACAGACTACTTTGAAGATGGTCGTGGCGTGACTACACTCAGTTAAAGGAACCTCACCGAAATCACTGTTCGTATTTGTTAACAAAAGTCCCATCCGATTTCGTGCCGGGGTAAGAGACATCCGATATAATGCTCCCTACGGAAATATGATACGTGCCAGAGATATATAACGGGCTGAAGTTGTAATCACTGACTACCTATCCGCACGTAGATACTCGTGTGGATAGCCTGCAGCAAAGGCCAACTCATGAGCGAGCTTGAGAAAATCTTATCAGGGAAGTTAAGCCAAACCAGGATTGAGCGAGAGGTTCCCTGCCTGCTACCAATAGTGTTCTTAATAAAAGTTAATCAGTACTTTATTCAGTTGCTGGTCTTGATTCATTCAATCAGCTTTCAGATTTTCAGATGTATGTCACATTTTGTTTGTGTGGATTTTTAGTTTTTCCTGAATACGACCAAAGGCCATTTGCACGATGGCGTCATTATACTTCTGTGACCAGAATTCTTCAGGGGTTTGCTTTGTTGTGCAAATTAGGGCTTTGTTATGGGATTACTGATTACTGAATTTAAATGTGGAAAGAAAAACGAAGTGAATGATGAATATTAAAATGACATCGTGCAAAGATCTCTCCACAACCATAAACTTGTTCTCGCATCAAAATGTTCTTAGTGTAAAATACAATTTTGTGATGACAAATTTCCTCTGAAATGTCCCCTTTCCTTTACTAAAATTCAAAAACTTAATATTTCGTAGTCGGCAGGATTCGAACCTGTGCGGGGAGACCCCAATGGATTTCTAGTCCATCGCCTTAACCACTCGGCCACGACTACCTGAGTAATACTCTTCGTTACCGTGTTGTTATAGAGAGTGTTACAATATTCTGTTTCTATTTTCCTATGCATGTTTTTTTTTTCAGATTTCAATCACCGTCATACCCCTTGCAAAATGGAATATACAGTACATTCAACCCACATTCCAATGTCGAATGTACAATAAATCCTGCGTCTCCACTACCTATGATATACCACCAGATGCCATTCAACTGGCCGCTTTTTCGCGTCGAATACAAGATAAGGTATTTCTACAAACTACTATTAAAAGTAAAAATAGAGAAATGATCGTAAGAACCGGCCTCTAAGCAACCGCGATGGCACCTGCAGCGAAAAAAAGGAATTCGCTTTAATTTAAACTTTTTGACATTATTCAATTTGTCAACTGAACTGAATTCTATAGGATCTAAATTGTACGTGTTTGTTTATAAGAAAATAATGGTCTTGTGTTGACGTGCTCCATAAAAGGTGAAATAAGGACTTTCCACGTCATGGTCGTGTAGTAACGATGCGTATGCATTTCTTGTTTAACCCTTAGCTTTTACGTTTTTGTTGCTGATGTTGTGGCTGTCGTCGTTGCTGAAAGGGGCTGTGTCACGGCAGTCCAGTTCATTTTGTTTAATTTTGCCAATTACTCGCCCTCAATCGCTATGGAACTTAAAGTAAGCAAAGAAATTACATATAAATGACAAAATCAGAGATCCGAGATAAACAAATATGTTTCTTCAGCATTATTTTTGAAGTTGCAAGCAGCAGGGATCAACTTTGTAAAACTGTTAGGCTGAACAGTTTTCAAAAACCCTAATTTCATAAAAGTTAATCCGTTAATTTCAATCCGTTTCAATCTTTTTCAGTTTTGCCCATCCGTGGCATCTGTTGTTTCTGTCATTTAACCTTCCTTTAAAGTTTTAAGCGGTTATTTTTATGTTTCTCTTAATTTAACGGGCATTTTCTAATTTCCTAATTTGGCTAAATTTCGTGACACAACTCCTTTAAGCATGCGGCACTGTCGTCGCAGTTGTGCATGCAATTAATGCGACGAATTATACTTTCCCGACGAAGAGAGAAATATTCCCGCGCAAAGTACAAGTACTTGTGATATAAACAGCGTTAAATGGTAAATTTGGAGCCTTTCACTTTTTCCATACGTTTCCCACATGAGCATACGTCTGCGGGAACCTTATCTTTAAAGCCACCTACTCATTGATAATTTAATTCATCATCATCATTATCACCTTTATTTATGCCCGATAAAAACATCAGGCAAATATACGATAAAATTATTGTTTATAACGCCTTGCTTTTTTAGATGATAACTATTTTGACTGGAGCTGTTCGTCCCAAAACCATCTACTATGTGATAGTGTATTACCAACAACCCCAGAGTTTGTCGACAAGAGTCGAGCAGATATTGATTGCAGATCAAGTGAAGTCGAACATCTCCGTAACCTTTCAGTACTGCCCCGCCAGATCTGGCTGTCGAATTGTCCTTGGAGAGGAGGATGGAAGGCGCTTTCAGTTTAGCAAAGGCGTCTTTACTGCAACTATTGAACACGACAGGCGGACACAAGTGGTAGGAAGAAAAAACTTTCCTTTTGATTATACTGGTCTGGCTTGTAATATTCTCACTGATACTAGGGCTAATTTGGTTGACAATCTGCCGGAACTGGATCTGCCATCTCGTGCGTCACTTTCATTGATAGTGTGTGATCGCGTCTGCCATCGAAATTACCTAATACGCTTGTTTGCAATAGCTTGTTTTAGTCTATGATTCGTTTCTCTGGCTAGTTTTCTTAAACTTGGCTATAACTGACGCCCAGCTTTAGTCCCCGTGTATATGGAGAAAAGTTGGCCCTCCCGGTTAGAGGAGTCACTCGCCTACATTTTCTTTTAAAACTTGGTGAACGTTCGTTAACGTAATAGACAAAAAGTTGGCTCAGCTAGAAGGGAAACCTTCCTCACAGGGTCACCCGTTTGTGATGGTATGGTCATCCTCCTGGCCGGGCCAACTTTTCTCCATATAAACACTTTGGCTCGCACAGCCGGGTTAACTCGGCCAAGGTGAGACGATCGGAGAATGCGCGAGCTCTGTTGGCTCGGGCAAAGGGGTCACCTTTACTGAGATACAGTCTGATCCTTTACCCAGGACAGGTTTTTTCCATTTAAAGTGCTCTGACTTACTCTATTTCTTTTTCTCGCCTCCCCATCAAAAAAAAATATTCTAAAGTTATAAAAGGGTTAAATCAAAACATTGAAAGAGCCATAGCAGAGCGAGGTTTTGATCCTCGGACCTCTGGGTTATGGGCCCAGCACGCTTCCACTGCGCCACTCTGCTATCTATTGGACCCTCTAGCTTGTTTAGCTATTCAAATGTTAACTGCCTGAGGTGCCGGTTGCGTCATCGTTGTTCAAAATGGAGGCTAGGCGCTAATCTGCTTTGCTTTTTCCGCTGTATTCTCTCTCTCTTTTTTCATTCTGAACAGATATTCAAAATATATTTCGTAGGTTGTTACTCCTGCATAACAGAACGTTCCAATTTACTGTGCTTACTGACATCTTGATAACTTTATTGCAATTCATTTTTTGCAAACTTACAATCGTATTGTAATCTTGATTACTCTATTCCTTTTTAAATTTATATTAAACTGGAGAAAATATGCACTCTAAGCTGTCCTCCTGGCAGGAAGAAGAAATCCAGAGTGAAAGGAAATCATTATACTCGTCATAATCAGATTGCAGGTGCAAATTTCCTGTTTTTGATTTTACTTGTTGACATAGGGACACATACTTCTGGTGCCACAGGGATCCTACTCTACACGCCTCCTGGAACCTCAATCTATCGACCGAGTGCAGCAGTTTATTCAAAGTTGCGGTAAAGATCATTTTCACATCGACCCAGGCCAGGCGGGAAGAATGTGTCGAGAGGGTGTCTTTACTTTAACGATTGGTTTCAATCGTCAACCTTTACAGTGTAAATGCAGTCTTCTTGGTTCTAGATCCGTGTTTTGTGAGAAGTTTGGCGGGCAGTGTCTTTGTCGTGCCAATGTGGTTGGGAGAAGGTGTGATAGGTGCCGGCTTGGTCACTCAGGTTTCCCGCGTTGCAGAAGTAAGCGGCTATCTTGTTCCAGAATGTCATTTTTTCTAAATATTGTTTCTCAACAGTGCAATGGAAACGTATTACTTCATGCATAACTTTCTCTGAAATAGTCAGTCGCTACGACACGAATTCAAGGGTTCAGTATAGAACAAGTTTTACACAATAACACTGGCATAGGATAGTACTGTTCAGTAGACCTTTTCAGCTTGTGTGTTTTGTTTTCCCATTTCAACCCATGTTATGTTACATCAGAGAACTGCATGTTTCTCTAAAATGTCTTTTTATCTACGTGCAGATGTTGGATGCATAACATATTGAAAACATCACTTGGTGTAAATTGGGAAAAAAATGCAAGCCGAATAGATCTAGAGCTTCATGTATCTCAATGGTAGCACTTTAAAAGTTGTACTGTAAGATTCTAAAGATAGAGCCTTACATAGTTGGAAACAGTATTGTCGGGAAAGTATGGCCTTTGTGGACCTGGAAGTTGACTGCTTTCTCCTCAAAACAACCTCAGTTTCATTCAGACACTTTAAATTTAGAACAAACTTTTACAGCATAATAAATAGCACCGGCTGTCAGGAAAGTACCACTTAATAACTTTCATTCCAATAGTCAGGCGTACCTACTGATATCGTTCAGAATAATGGTACTGTTCTGTGTCATTTCTTTTAAGCGTTTTAACCTCAGTGTTATGAGGTAGAACTGCATCATACAGAGCCGTACGACTTAACAGATAACTGGGATGTGTTCTTGTGGAGATCATAAGATTAGACTGTCTATCTCAGATTTTTCGGATGCGTTTATACGACAAGATAAGCAAAAATTACCCCCAATTTTATTTTAGCGTGCTGTCAGTGAGTATTGGTGCGAATTTGATTTAGATTTGATCTGATGAATCTATGCAGGAGTGTAATTCAAAACCCATTGCTGGATTAAATACTTAGAAGTAAAATCCTTTTTTGAATTCAAGAATCCGAATTAGTATTTTCCCAAAGACAGGCATTCTTAGACAAGGCCTATTAATTTGTCCTAGGTTGTGGTTGTCATGAGATTGGTTCAGTGTCGCCTACTTGCACGTCAAGCGGACGATGCCGCTGCAAGCCTGGATTTGGAGGATATAAATGCGACAGGTGCAGATCATCGGGTTATTATGGATTCCCGGATTGTAAACGTAAGTTGTTTATCGTGCGTGATTTAAGTCAATATTTTATTCAATAGTTGTTCAGAAATTCTATACATACACTAATCTGTACATATGCACCTCAGCATACTGAATATTTTTTTTTTCCTCAACACTTAAAATGATGGCTTGGGGGAGGGGTAGGTGGGCATTTTCACAGAAACCTAAATTGATCTGAAGTTTGTTTTTATGGAACTGTTCCGATCTTCTTTTCTTCCTCTCTATCCAAACCAACAGCGTAAGTTAGCTGACCGTCAAGCCATTCGTGGGGCATTTCGAGCCGGAAGCCTTCAAAAAGGACTCACTGGCCGACCAAAATATCCGGAAAACTCCAGTCGATTTTCCTTTGCTTTTTACTATAGTTGATAAATTTTTCATTCCTTTGTGATTCTCAGCCTGTGCGTGTAACAGTCTGGGCTCTCTGAGCATGTTTTGCCGTTCACGTGATGGTCAGTGCCAATGCAGGAGGAAATTCCAAGGACAAAAGTGCAATGAATGTAGAATAGGATTCTATGACTTTCCTAGATGCAAAGCTTGTGGTTGTAACCCAGCGGGGATCAAGCTACTCCCTGGACAAACAAACGGATGTGGATCTGTAAATAACGTAAGAATACGCTGATTAGATGCAGAATTCTTCTTAAGCTAATTTTATATTTGGGTTCACAGATCAAACAGACATCACACTTCTCTCTTTCCTTTGCACAAATGTCAAGCTAGTTCATTTTATAAGTCTGTGGATCGGAAGTACTGGGTTGCCACCTTTAAAATTGCCAAAAGCTGTACATCCGCATGATGCGCAGTCTTAACGGATTTCAGTATAAATAAATATAAGTAAAAATAAATAAGTACTATTATTTGCTTTTATTATATAAACACCAATGAAATACCAGGTGAGCTTTCGCGCGAAAACTTGATATCTTGCGCTCACTCGTGAAATATTTTTCAACAGTCGAAGAGAAATTTCGTATCTCTGCGCGGCCATGTAATATCCTCTATCTGCGTAAGGATATTCCACTGTTTTAAGACTGAAACTGAGATTTTAACTTGTTTTTTTTTCCTTTTAGACACACTGCGTGTGTAAGAACAATGTGGCAGGGGATGATTGTGATAGCTGTAAACCCTTTACATTTAATCTTCAAATGAAAAACCCTCTGGGATGCCAGTCATGTGATTGTAATGCAAATGGAACTCTGGGATCGATTAAAACGTGTCACGCAACTATTGGGCAGTGCGAATGCAAGAGTCACGTGACAGGTAGACAGTGTGGAAGGTGTAAAGAGGGTTATCACAGTTTCAAAGGATCGGACGTGTTCGGCTGCAAACGTGAGTTTACATCTTTAAGGGCCATTTTTAGTAATAATACAATAATAATTATGATAATGATGATGATAATAAAATTCATTTTGTGGGGGTTGCACGTGACCTTAGGTATTTCGCATATAGTTCATAAATCAAGGATTTAAACAGTATTCAAATATCATTCAAAAAATAAGTTTTTCTGGTGTTGCAGAAACTGTATTTTGGTGTGGGTGTTCAATTTGTACTACATTATTTGTTGATGGAACCATTCGCAACATTAACAAAAGGACAAAAAGCGTAACTGAACCTTGATTAACGTAAGGTAGTCGTGGCCGAGTGGTTAAGGCGATGGACTAGAAATCCATTGGGGTCTCCCCGCGCAGGTTCGAATCCTGCCGACTACGTGGCTTATTTTATTTTTTCGTTTTGCCAGACGCAATATTGACTAGTGCATTTGATTTGTACAATACACGTCTATTACATAACAGTATCTATTTTACTCGTTTCTGTTTTGCGAAAACCTGATGTATAGCACTTGATTAAAAGTTTTTGCGTTCTATCTTCGTTTGTTATAATACAGGTTGCTTGTGTAATGCGGGGGGATCTGTCAGCCAATCCTGTAACGCAGTTACCGGAGCTTGTACCTGTTTACATGGCATTGGTGGAACTCAGTGTGACAGGTTGGTTTAAACACTAGGAAATAGCAATAGAGAAAAAACACAGATGTCGGCAGTCGTAGGGAAGTCTTCGGAAGTCATCGGTCCAGGGTCACCAAGGGTTCCTTTCGTATTTAGCTGCCACAATTTTAGCGCTATCTTATCACAGGTAATAGCTCACTTTAATAAAAGGGGGAGAAGAAAAGAAAAAAAGGAAAAAGATCACAAGAAATATTTCAGTTCAATATCTTGACATGTTCCTGTTTTCTGTCAGGGTTGCATCACAAGAATATTACTACCCTACTCTATATCATCATAAAGTAGAACTTGAGGATGGATTCACGGATAACGACAGAGCCGCTAACTTCAGACACAGCGAGAGCGAGTTCACTGGGTTTTCTTGGCGTGGATATGTCGTTTTTACGCAGTCGCAGGTAACTTTTGGAGAGTTTGTATGCATTGCCGACCTTCAATGTGCTATGTTTAGTAGATGACGAGAGGCGGACTAAGTAGAGTGGTTTTTGTAGACGCCTTTTTAATGTTTGACCTCTGTCCCGTCCTCATCAGCTGGTAATAAAAGCAGGCAAGAATATAAACTTTTTCAAACTAACAAAGCGAACATCCAACCTTTAAACTTGACGTCCGTGGCGCGCAAACGTCTGGGGTTACCTAACTATTGATGCCACCCTTTATATCAAAACGAATTTTTTCTATTCCATAATTTCCAAACATTTGAAATTTAAAGCGGTAGTAAATGTTGCACTCAAGACTCCACTCAACCAGTTGACTAAATCAACTTACTTAAGAGGTGAATGGCTTTAAGAAAGAACTCAGATATTTATTTTAGTGAAGAATTCAAATTGGATGATTTTTGACTTCATTCTCATTGACATTCAGTACATTGTCCAAACCTTGAAATTTGACTGAAAAATTAGCAATTTAGAAAATCGTCTGACTCGTTTAAGTGTCAGGGGGCAATGCAAGGTACTGTAAAAAGTTGGGTTGCCAGTAGTTGTGTAACCCCTATAATTTTCACTAAGAGACACAGTGTTTTTATCACATAGCGGACGTTGAAAAAGAGTTGCCGTACATAGTACAGACCTTTCCCAACATTCTTGTGAACAAAGGCTTCAACTTGAGGCTGAAGAAGTGACCAAAAATAGTGTTTTGTATGTGACTATCCACCCACTGAGCCTCGACCTCGTTTTATTGTGTGTTTGCTCAATGGAATGGAGACAGTGTGGAAAAGGTCTTAGTTTTAACCAATTTCCAATTTTTGAAGTCTTGGATGTTATGATGAAACACTTTTTCGAGTATTTGATATAACTTCTCCAACCAGTTGTCAAAGTGTTGAAGGAGAAATGCACAATCGAGAAATTTTACGTCAAATGTCTAAATACATGAGTAAATTATTTTAAGTATTAATAATGGTAATAGGACTGAGTGGAATCCAATTCGGTCTGTGATCATACAAGTGATAAATAAAATCGGACGGCGGAGCATGAGTCCTATTTGTTTAAGGGACTGTGCAATAATTATCAGGAGGGGGGCTGAAAAATGAGCCTGACATAGAGTAATATTACATAGCGTCCCCCTGCCAACAAAGGCAAGTTAGCTCTGAACCCCCTTCTGGTCAGTTAAAAATATTAACCACCCCCCCACCTCCTCTCGCCTTACATTTACGTGAATTCACTACTTCTTTTGTTCTGTAACGTTTTTCGACGGCTTCGTTTGGGACATGACCTCAAGACAACGTTTGACAAAGCCAATTATTTTAGAATAGTCCGATTGCTTGTCGTCTACAAAATCGTACTATGAATCACTGGATTGAAGCTATGAGTCATTTGCGTCAGTACCTTTGATTTCTTATTGAGTCATGACCAACACGAACATGCCTCAGAGCTACTTGTTCCTCTGTCCTTCCAATGACTACTTGTTAATGATGCTGTTTCAGATACAGTATTAACTTTCTTCCCGTCAATGAACTGACTTGGTGCTCGTCGTTCCAGCCAATATTTGCTCGTTTTTGGGCCTTTAAAGCAAGAACCTCTTGGAGTTGCACAAACCTCTTTCAGATAATCTCAAAAAAGCCATGAATTCCTCGCGCACCTTCTACAGTTCGATACTTGTACGCGTTGAAAAATTCGATCTAGGAATGAATCGGCACGATGATGCTCCAGCCTTCACTGAGATCAGGAACCGAAAACTAACGCCGACCATTCTTCCTGTTTGTAAGACTCTCAAGTGGGCTCGCGAGAAACCTTTAGGCACTGTACTCTAAGTTGTAGTGCCTTGACACACGATCTTTCTTTAGCTTTTGAAGTTTTAAAAGCAAAGAATTCCTCATATGCCGCTATTCGCACAATCTTTACGTCTGCTGGGATTAACTTGACACACCCTCAGCTTTTGGCTGTCTTTACATCTAATGGTAATTACTAGAGAGAGGATACAACCTCTGTTAGTTACTGTTGTCTTAAAAGGGAGACGCCCTTTTTGAGATCCTGGATACTCCCCTGTTCGATTAAGTATAGGAAATAAGCTAAAATATCATGTAACCAGAATTGTTCATGGCTTTGGTACTAATCATTGCTAGATCTATGTTGATCAGATATAAATCATGTTTTGTTCATACTAAATCAACCTCAGAAAGAAATCAGTATTATTGTTAGTGAGTCAGCTTACCCACGAAATTATCAGATACCACCCCCCTCTTAATAGAGAAACTTACATGATTCCCCCCCCCCTGTGGTTTTACAGCCTCCCCTCCTGATAATTATAGCACAGTTCTTAATCACGAGTATGACCATAGACCGAAGTGGAAAACGCGGAGCTTTAATTTGAAATGAGGTCAAGGCTGCTGATACCCAAATCAGATAAGAGAATTTTGTTTCAGTTATGATCAGGGTATGGTTATGATCAATGCTGAAATCATGGCTGTCAATAGCCAATCAGTCTGTTTTAGACTTAATTAATGAGAGATTTTCATTCACTCACTACCGCGCGACTTACGCGTTACTTGCTCTTTTGTTTTCACAGAATTTCATTTATATCATGATTGATGTGCCCCGCACAACCAAATATCAGCTCATATTCCATTACAATTACATTTCATATTTACCCGTGACGGCTATGGTCAAATTTATTCCAACCCTAGACTCTGGTAAGTATTTGTCTGCCCTTCGTAACTTTTCATCTACAATATCATTGCGATTAACCTGAGATCAGGCTCTATTTTCGTTTCGCTTTGAAAATTACATTCCGGTAGCCGTTAGAGAGAATGTATGAGAACCGCTCAAATTGGGCCTGATCTCAGGTTACATTGCGATAATATCTGTAGCTCACTGCTATTCGCGCTGCTGCTGCTGTTGTTGTTTTTCATTATCAGGTTTGCTTACTTTTCTTTCCAATTTAATAACATTTGTTACAACGTTTCTCTTAAATAAAAACACAGCAAAATTTGCACAAGAAGCTTTGGGCCCGTATAGGCTCAGCAAGCGTCAAAACAGGCCAGAAATTTTGATGTAAAATTAAAAACGTCAACACCCAAAATGTCTGCTTTTATGTGTACGTGCCAAGAGAACTTGTTCCCCTGTTCATTTTGTCGTCCCACTGTAGATCTCGGGACCTTCGAACTTAAGAGATTTGATTTTTGTCTTGTTTACTTAGAACTTGTGAGACTGACCTGCCCCAATTAGTATAGCTACCTGCAGGTCAGTCGGATTGATTGTAAATAGTTCGTTATATAAAATAAATAAACTTGAAACTTAAAACTTGTTGGAAAGTAACAATGGGTGCGAGCATAAAAATGTCCGCCTCTTTTGATCTTCATTGGGGCAGCAAAATATACAAGCCAAAAAGGTCAAAAAGACCTCTAGTCTATGTCTCAGAATTGCACAGTTTTAAAATGTTATCGATTGCAATGCTTTTAATTGTCAGCTTCCTTTCCTGATGGCCCTGCAAGAGAGCAAACCCTTGATGTCCAGTTTCGATCAACGTCCTCGTGGATTTTTGCTGTTCCCAAGATTCTTCTGGTAAGAGATTACAGGTGGGAGCCGAGGCGAGTTATGCTGAGTCAGGGAAAATGGAAACTAACAATGGCTGTTACTGCTTCGGACCTCTTTGTGGTATGAACTCGTTTGTTTCCTCAGTTGTTTAAACAAATGATTTAGCACTTAAGTCATTTATTTAAAAAAAAGTGAACAATCATATACAGAACGCGTAGGTCTACATTTTTGCGGGCCACAGTGTTAAAGACTGTAGAGTATTGAAGAACAGAGGGTTATTACGTTCTTTCCTCACTTCCTCCCTCCCTGGAACCTTTCTTCAATTGTATCCACTATGTTTTCAGACACTCACACAGTGGCCCGGGCATGACTGTTAAACTGTACTAGGCTACATATGTTGTAGGTAAATCACGTTCTAATTATAGACCAAAATTTCCTACTTGTCTCTGAATAATTAGGGCTAGGGAGAGAAATAGGCTGATACTGGCTTGACCTGAAAACGGATTTTACCCACAACATACGCATGCGTAGAATATTTTTTTTTCTCTGATGCTGGTTTCTATTTAATTTGTTTGTAAATTTAGGCAGTTGTTATGTTTTATTTTACATTCATTTTTCAAACAAAATTTCCTTCTGTTTATAGTTACCCCTCAGCTTCTAGGGCTTGTTATTTTTGGCGTTATGTTATGTCATGTCAGGGTGTCAGCCCAGTCCGTGGATTTTCCTCAGTCTTCTTTCTTATTAACCACACTCGTGTAATGTAGCGGTTTTTTGTATGATGAGTTCAGTTGACCTTGATCCTTTAATCATCTACTTTTTACTATCTCTGAATACTATACTTGGCCTCCTCTCCTCGATTCGCCTCCAATATTCACACATCGACGACTTCTATTACCAGGACTATCTGGTTTTACTACCAGAGGAATACTACAGTCCGCGGAACCTCGCGCTTAAAGTAACCAAACCTTGTACACTAAGCAGAGATGAAAAGTACTGTGTTCACTACACTTACCCCACCCTCAAAAAGGAAGGAATTGTCACCATCCAGGCGGAGGATAGCTCTGTTGTTGGTGGAATAAGAAGAAGTCAGCGTGTTGGTGATGTTCCGTTTCAAGGGCGTCTTCTGAGCGGTTCACGAGTAAGTTGATTAATAGTGAGAAAAATAATCAACTCCATATTAATGTAGCCTGCGTCGACCAGTGTAACTCCCTGATAGGGTTATGTATCTTCTCTAAGTTCGGCTGCAACACAGGCTATATTGACGCAGAAAACTAAGTCGTCTGGTCATGTTGCGGGCCGAGGCTAGATATACCAAAACCTGCAAACATTTCCAAACCACAACGTAATTTTTAGGGGGTTATTATAACTCCAAAAATGGAGTAAAAATTTTAGGTACAGGATAACCCCTTTTTTGGGCCTACTTTAACTCCTAATTTAACTAAATTTGGGGTTATTTTTACCCCTGAAAAAGAGTTATTTTAACTCCAGACTGGGAGTAAAATGGGGTTATTTTCACTCCTTACATGGGTTGTTTTAATTTACTCTTTTTGGAGTTAATTTAACTGTAAAAGTGGAATAAAAATTTTAGGTACAGGATAACTCCTTTTTTGCAGTTATTTTAACTCTTCAATATCTGGGGCCATTTTTACTCCTGAAAAAGAGTTCTCTAAACTCCTTTTTGGAGTTAAATAACTCCCCAGAAAATAACTCCACTGTGAGTTAAATTTACCCCACTAGAGGAGTTATTATAACTCCTTGAAAATTACTGTGCAGAAAATATAAACCTCTAGTTGCTCGTTTTACTTTCTTATGCACTTTCTGACCCTGGCGGAGAGACTTGAACTGAGGTTGCCCGATGTGGCGTTCACATAAAAGCACATGTACAGTGGTATAGCCGCTGCGCATTGCGACTGGTAATTAAAAGTCGGGTACTGACTTGCTCGCTCGCTTTTTACCGCGCCTGTGTCTGATTTCAGCTCCGATTGGTTTATTTGATTGCGTGCTTCTTTTCTGATTGGTCAGAAAATAAAACTCATTGGGTTTGGTTTGTGATACTCAGTAGGACATTTTAGCTTAGGTTGTTTGTTTTCCCACGTTTGCAAGGAAATTTTTCCGCCGTGTTTTTTAATAGAATACCCGCGTGATTGGAGTGAAATTTTAAAGAAACAGTTCTCTCAACATCACGTGGTCTGAACTGGGTAAACAAACACTTTTTTGAAAAAAACTCTATCACTTGAGAAGGGCGGCGAGGCGCTAAAAGCTGCTGAAACATGAGCTTATTTTGGTACAAATAAAACTCTATCATTTTATCTATGAGTAATTGAATCTGCTTGTTGTACTTAGAATGTGATGTCCGTACGACTTCCGTCCACCGTGCGAGGCCAGTTTGTGTTGCTGGCCAGCTACTTTTACAATTCCGATGATGAGAGACGACTGAGCGTGGTTGTTAGAACCGGCGACGAGATTTTTAGAGCTCAAATGAGTATTTTGTCTTGCAGGTAAGGCAGAACAATAAGTAGCCGTTTCTGTGTATTAGGTTCAGCACAAGTTAAGTCTTTAGAAAGTTACCTTCTATCTTGAGCCTCAAACTACAGTCATTTAACAAATTGACGCAATTTTTGATGTGTCTGTCCTCTTATTAGTAAGTAATTAAGTAAGTGACTTTATTTAATCAGAGTAGCACATTCCGCAGCGAGGCTGGTATATATCCATAGGGGCTATGAGAAATAAACATAACTGTAAATTAAAAAAAACAGTTCCTAAGTTATGAACACGATTCAAATAAACAATAATACCATAAAAGATCTCAGTCAATGTAAAACGTTTGCGCTACTGAGACAAGAGATTAAAATCATAAGGTAAAATATCTTATTAGCAAGTTTAACATAATTCGGTAAAACATCGAAATTTGGCAAATGACCCCGTCTTGCATAAATTATTTTAGGTGTCTGTACTCTTATTGATAATTCATTTTCCGTTTACCAAAAACTTTCGGAAACTTCTATGGAAAGGTCCATGGAGTGAAGAGCGTGTTCTACTTGACACAAGTTCCATTCGCTTATGCTCTCGTCACCAAAGATGGTGGCACAGATATCGTCGTGAATAGCCAGAAACTGGTGATTCCTTGTGAAAACCCGTAAATGGAACATGCTTTTCATCGGAAAATTTCCAACCGGAAAACAGGACTCCCTTTTCAAAATTCCACTTATTCCAGGGAACTTTTCCGTGGAATGCTTGGAAAACGTGTGTTCCATTAACATCCCAAATGGAAGTTGCGGAATTTCTTGGTAAATGGAAAGCGCTCTAGGTTTTAAGGGGAAATGTCGCATGTTGAGAATTTCCTGGATTTACAATTTCTAGCGCTTAGAAGCCGTATTAAAAGAGGGTTGAAAGGTAAGAAGGGAATGAACTGAAACAAAGATCTTCCCGGCGTGTTTAAGTTTGACTGTGCTACTGGAAAAAGTGGCTAAAAACAGTTATTATGGTTTCCTGTCACTTTCCTGATTGAACTGATTTCTCTGTCTTGTTGTATAAGGCTATTACATCAAAGAGTATATGTAGCTAATAATTGTCGCGTATCTTACACAGAAACTTGGGAGAATTACTGTAATCTTTGGTTTTCGTTTTAAGGTATCGGTTTGGCTGTCGGCAAGTAGCCATTGACTCAAACCATGGTGCTTACATGTTCACCGCAAAACCAGACGAAATAACTACAGTCAGTTTAACATCGAATTTCATGGTCGCTTTGGTGAGTCGAAGTAGTGTAGCAGATGCATGCAGGTACTGCATGAGACACACTGTCGTCTCCCTCGCCCTCGCTCCGCACACTGCTCTTGCTCACGTTCCATTTTCTCAAGTGAGTAGTATAGGGCGTACCGGATAGGCCCTTTTTTCACGCAGGAATCTCATTAACTTGCACAGGAATACGTTAAGGCCGACCACGTCATAGCCTTTTGTCTTTATGACATGACTAAAATGAGGTGGATTCTCATTATTTCTCCTTTTGCGTATTTTTGATTCAATAGAAATAATAGACTCACCTAACCTTGACCGGGTTAACTTGTTTGTTATTTTCCCTCCACTACCACCACCACTACGTCGACGCTGCATCGATACCACATCGACCCTTCGTTGACCCTACATCGATACCACATCGACCCTACATCTATGGAGATCAAGGAGGGTGTTATCCGTCGAGGCCCCCAACATGTGGATAGGGAGGAGAGAAAAATAGAAATGTGGTGGTGATGGTGGTGGAGGAGGGAAAACAAATAAAAAAGAAGTGATGAGGAGGGGGGGAACAATAAAAATGAAGAGGTAAGAAGGAGGAGGAGGGAAAAAATAGAAATGTAGTTGTGGTGGTGGTGGTAGTGGAGTCAAAGGAAAAATAATGAGAATCCACCACATTTTATTAATACGGTAAACACAAAAGGCTATCACGTGATTGGTGTTAATGTCATTCCTGCGCAAGAAAGGCCTAACCGGTGCGCTCTATACTACTCATGTGCCTGCGATTTTGAAGTAGTGAATGGAAATGCCCGTCTTTGCATTAATAAGCCATTTTTTCTTGGGTAAAGCCTTTGCCTCAGGCGTTGAGCTACTTGATACTAAATAGGCGCAACCTTTTGGCAAGTGTAATATCCCTTGTTGGAGTTGCCGATGGAAGAGCAAAATTTAAAACGCAGTCGTTGGGTTAGCAAACATTAGAGACATTGTCTCATAACCCAAATCAAAGGGGTTTGGAAAAGGATTGTTTTGTTAAGGGAAAGAAAGAAATATGAAAAGGGTTGGTGTAAATGACCGGTTCATGATCGATCTATTTCAGGACTTTATCTCTGCTATTCCATTGTCCATGTGGAACGAGAAGCTTTTAATCCCAGCTGAACAGTGTGTTGATAATGGCTTCTCTTGTATTCAAACATCTTATCCTGATCCATCTGATGCCACGAAAATTGAAGTTGAAGATCGTTCCACTGGTGGCGATATAGCACCGTACTACATAATGGATCGCAGGGCGAGATTAAAGCATGTTAAAGTTGGCAAGGTATGAAAAAAGCTGGCTTTAAACCCGTATTCAACTTTAGTTTTCCCCAAACTATTTTCGATACTTTCCAGCATCATCTGATAAGGAGAAGTCCTTTTTCTTTTTGTTGCTTTTTTGTTTTTATTGTCATAACCTTTTTGTTTGCCCGCATTCATCCCAATGACTTTCCACAAACGCCTGTTTGGTTGACCACTAAGTACGAACTCATGGCGAGCTTGGCCACTTTTTTTGGTCATGTAACACGAGTCCTGCAGATCAGATGAGTGATGTCGAGTGTATCCTTTACTTGGTGCTTAAAGACTGAAAGATTGTTTATGTCATGCTTGGTGAATAAATGAAAAGGACGTAAGGAAAACAGGCTATCATCTCCGAGTTCCTAAAACCCTCACTTTCAAGCCGAGGTCAAGTGCAGAACCTTTCTTGCGAAAATGAGTTTTATTTGCATGAGAATAAAAAATCATTTTCATATCAATGGCTTTACACTTAGCCTCGTATTGAAACAGAGGCTTGGAGCAACTGGGAAATGGCTTTTAGGTCTTAATAAGTAAAACAAAAGCTCTGCGGCACGTGCATGAGACTGGCTGTTAGGAATATTTCTTTTACGCACTTCATGACTACGACACGAAATTCCTCATATAACGTTTTCTTTTTCCTTTTTTGTTATCTGATCTTGGAAATGGTTCTTAAGAAGTCAGCTTCAGGATACTCTAAACATTTGACAGACTGAGCGATAATCGCGCGTGACGCAGGCTGACCAATCCATTCGTTAAGAGAACCGATTGCACTATTAATTAGGTCTATTCAGCCAGATCAGGCTCTTCCTAAATAGGACGCATAGCAGTGATGGATTCTTAGCGATAACTCGGGAAAATCTTATTTCATTTTCAAAGTAAATTGATTGGTCCTGCTGACCAGTTCTGACTTTTGGTAAGCGCCTTAGATTCCGTAATAGGTGCAACGGAAACGTCATTATAAAGTGAATTTGCGTTCTTTCAATAGCTACAGAGAAACTCGTGCAGTGAGACATAAGCTTGAGGTTTAAATCTCGATGACGAATGAACTATTTTTATGTGCCACCTTTATGACATTAGGAATACAACGCCTTCAAGATCCACTAACGATCTTGTCCCTTGTCTTCAACTATATTGCAACCATTGAGTTCATTATCTGATAAAACCGAACTTAGTCTTTAATAACAAGACACCTCACCTAACTCTAGCTAACACGTGCCTCTTTATCTTCCTTTTATTCTTAGAAAACCGTTTTTATCCATGGAACAGCTCGTTCCGGGCGCTATTACGTCATCGTGCATTTCTACCAGCCGAATTTCCTCACATTCCCTGGAAAAGTTATTATTAGTGGACAGAACGCTGCGACAACCCTGTTTACATTCCACCATTGTCCTCACGTGTCTGGGTGTCGGGCCATAGGCACGTCACAGTACAGAGAGGGTATAAGCGAATCAATCTACATTGGAAGGCAAAATAATATTATCCTCAGTATAACCATTCCAGAGGACAAGGGACTCTGGATTGTAAGTGTTAAGGAAATACGAATTAATGTTGCTTTATGACGTTAGCAGCGGGAAAGCTCGACACGAAACAACAATCCGTTTAAAGAAAAAAAGGTGTGTCTTTCTTAGGCAATATAGAAAGCGCTAGCCTTATTTTATGGCTCAGGTCTGGCGTGCTCATCGTGCAAGGCATTCGTCACGTTTTGTGTTTCCACGGTGGTGCATATGTCATTGGGGTCGGCAGGCGGATGGGTCAAATGTAATCAGTGATTACATTTGGGACAAAAGTTACTAATGCATTACTATGGCATGGAACTATTACCGTCTTTTTGAATCACGAAATCAGTGCTTTCATTTAAGACAAATGTTACTTACGTTGAAATTATCCTCGCCATTTTAGGGTATTAAGAAAAAATTTTGGAATGATATAGTTTCTTCAGTGTTGAGCCACGAGCGTGAATTGCGAACCAGATATACAATGAATTAAGGGTAAATCTTGAAAATTGCCTCAGAAAAGTTGATTTTAGGAAGTAACGCACTCTATGTTTTGTCTTATATTTCCGATACAACCAGTACTCAAAGTTCTGCGAATCATTTTTGTCCTTTGTGTTCTAGGATTACGTGATGTTGGTTCCACTGTCATCTTTTTCTCCATCACTGCTGGAAATTAAACCCATCGATGTTAACAGAGACTTCATCCAAGACTGTGGCCAAAACGATTTCTTTTTAAAAGAATCTTCTTCAAAATTCTGTCTCACCTCCACCTTCACAATCACGTCAAAATTCAACAACGGCGCTTTACCGTGCCAGTGCGATAGACTTGGCTCTGCTAAAACTGGCTGTCGCGCATTTGGAGGACAATGCAGTTGCCAGCCGAACGTGATTGGTCGAGCATGTGACAGGTGTAAAAGTGGTTATAGCGGGTTTCCTCTTTGTCGGAAACCAATCACTTAACCATTACATAGGACTTTTGACTATAGCCAATAACCATCGTACCTGCCTAACGTAAAATACATTTGTATATGGGACGCCGCATTTTTACGCCGTAATGTTTATAATTTTGTGTCATTTAAACGTAATTTTATTGCTTTACATACTTAATGAACATTAAAGCGCTCTTACCAAAGACAGAGTTGTGAGTGTATTTTTTGTATAGCACCTCGTCAGGTAGACTTGCAAAAAAGTACTTCGTCGGCTCGCGGTCGGCCGCTTCGTGGCCAAACAAGGCTCGCTCCCTCACCAAGAGGTCGACTTGTAGCAAGTCTACTCGTCAGGAACCCTAACCCTAACCCTAACTCAGAAAGCCTCGGAGTCATGTTACAATTTTAATATATTGAACGAGGGCTATTAAATTTGCCTAAATTGTAATTTACCCAAGGTTACCCTCGAGACAACTCAACAGCGGTTGAGCCCCAGGCAGGCAGTTCCATGCGGGGTGGCCGCCGAGTCTGCAGGGGCTTACAGGTGATTGCATACCTCAGTGTTGCCGATCGTAGCGGATCATTGCGATTCAAGACTTGAGATATTTTCTTGTTTCTGCTCCCACTCCCTCCACCCTTGGATATGTAAGTATGGGTTGTGGTAAGTGTATCACTGAGCTTTTTCAGTGTGAGACGGTGCTGGGTGGTTGGCCCTCGCTTAGCTGCCATGGTTACCTCGGAGGTGATGCTGCCCTTTTGCGCAACAGTAGAATGGATATACCTTAAAATTAGGTTGGACACCTCATGTTTATTACACAACCATATACTCTTCGTAGATAACTATTTGTGAGTGAATATGTTTGGCAAATTTTTGAGAAAAGTGGGGGAAATCAGAGTAAGGGACAGTTGAGCAAGGAAAAAAGTTGAATACGGAGCTTAGCACCGAAGTACAGTGGCTAGGGTTAAACACTCTTGTAAAAACGGTTAGCTTTCAATAATGTTATGATCATTGTCATATAAACTGCGTTCAAATTAACCGATGTCGATGTGTAGTGGATACGGAAGTGGATTATACATCAAATTGAGCGGGTTGAAGTCCAACGTACTACTTAATAGGGCCGTTTATACGAGGAAAAATAAGACGCGTCTTACATAGGACGCGTCTTAAATAAGACGCGAACTTTCCGTATAAACGGCACATTTCGTCTAAAATAAGACGCGGCTTAGCTAAGACGCGTCTTATTTTAGAACAGCCCTTAACACCTGTTCTTAGATAAGACGCGCCTTAGCCAAGACGAGAAAAACTTCGTATAAATGACCTTCGCGTCTTGAATAAGACGCGAACGCATAGTACGCATGCGTTAATTTTTGACGCGCCACGTTGGTTGTTGGATTGCCGTTGCTCCGGGCATGCTCGTATAAATGGTACAGTTCGCGTCTTATGAAAGACGCGTCTTATTTTTCCTCGTATAAATGGCCCTAATGTTTTCTTCCGTTTTCTTTCTTCTCTTATTAACTAGTACTTTAAGTTATAAGACATCACGTATTTTGAGTAAAGATAACGATCTGATTTTAGGATATCCTTTCTGGTCTCAACCTAAATGGGCCTTTCCACCTTAAAGGCACCCGCTCCCAAGCTCGTCTTGTTTATGAGTTTGAACAATTTGCCGGTGATAACAATCAACCATCAGTTTATCCCACCAATATTTTGCGTATGTACCGGCCTTGAAGATTGACTCAAAACCGTCGAGGGAAATGTGAAAGTGCGAATAGGCCTTTTACAAAAAAATTATGACACGCTTTGTTGTCCCTCCAAAATTTTGGATAAGCATTGTTTTCAAATTCTCCTGGACTTACCATCGCCCAAAAGAAATTGAAAACAATGCTTATGCAATATTTAGAATGGAAAACAAAACATTACGGTATTTTTGAAAAAGGTCTATACCGACACATGCGTTATTGACCATTCGAGAGGTCAAGATGGCTGGTTATCGCTAAGTTAAAGGGCCACTACGACCAACATTTTCGTTCTTATTTTCCTCCATTTCTTGCTTCAATATATTCACTGAGTTTATAATTGGAAAAATAGCTATAAATTAAATCAATATAAGCTCACTGAAGCTGGAAATAAGCTGCCGAAAACCGGCCACAACCCGTTCGCCATTACTTAGTTCGCAAACTGAAGCCAGTGATAATTCGTTACTTTTAATGTTGAAGATTATGCTGTTACCACTACATTAGAACTTTGATTAACAAAAATAATCACCACGTTCCTCTTCAATGTCTTTTCGACACGCCATTCCTTACATTCTGTCTCTGCTAAATACGTCTAGATTTCATTCAAAATCCGACCACTTTTATCCTTTCCGTTTTGAATATGAAAAACCCATTTCACACGGAACACCCAATGTTATGCCATCTATTTCGCGAAATGATTACAAGAAATGAAAAGGTGAAAAACGAAAACGCAATGATTTGACTTTGAAAAGTGGTAATGATCCGAGTGGGACATTGAGGATCACAAAATGGTCAAATAAGCAAATCTGTACTGCTGTATGGAAGGGCCTCGTACCAACACGATGCACTCTTTCGTTGAACATGTAGATAACAGTTTTACAAGACCCGGAAGAACACAAAATGCCACACCGAACCCACATCCGCGAGAAAGCGAGTAACGACCCGAGGAAACAAATCCCAGAGTTTCCCTCGTACAAGAATTTCTCAAAGATTTTTCAGCTAAGTGGCCCTTTGGATCTTTGTGCAGAGGTTCCAAGGGTCCGGCAAAATTCTTGCATTTTTGAAGTTTTGAAATGTCCTCCGATGAAGGAATCACCACGGAGGAGTTTGGTACCGGCACACTCCGCTGGACCATTTGCAACTGTACGCATACAACAGAGTTAAAATCACTAACGACAATAGAAGATAACTTGGATTCGTCCAAAGGCTTGGAAGGATTATTTGTCGCCTTACTTTGTTTTGAATCTGCCATTCGCTTCTGTTTATGTCGTAAAGTGTAGCATCGTAGAGCAGATAGCTTAGTGCGAGATCGTAAAACGTAGAAAGGTTGCACAGTCTTGCCAGTTGTTTGATTGGAGTTATTTTCAATGCCAGTGGTTTTGGTGGAATCACAAGTGATTCTAGTCTGTGCATCTTCAGACAGGGATGATTTGACCAAAGACTGGTCACTAGAAACACCTTGAGAAGAGTCACTGGACGTAATATCAGTTTCAGGGTTAACAATAGAATCGTCAGTCAAACTGCTTGATAACTGAAGAGTCTGGACAACAGAGACGTCCATCTGAGCAGAATCACCAACAGACTGATCAATTCTAGTGGAATCGCTTGTCTTATTACTCAGCTCCCCTACAATGGTAGATGGTTTGTTCAAAGAATGCCAATCTTTGACAAGCTCTCTCCATGGTGGACTGAACGGAGATTTTACACCTAACCTCTCATAGTTTGGCCTCTTTGAAGGCGGATATCGCTTATATTGGGCTTCACCATCATCTTTTAACTTGATGTTGTACGCTTCCCCGGCTGGTGTGTCCGGAAAGTCATTTGGGAAAAATGGTACTCCAAGCTCAAGGGCTGAAGTTTGACTCTCTTGCAGTCCCCCAGTTCTAGCACCACGGTAAACAAGGGCCATCCAAAACGCCATGGCCCATCCGGAAGGGAGAATTATGTCCCATCCACTGCCGTATCCATTGTTAATAAGGGTACCTCTGTCATTCTCTAAAACATTAAAAAAAGAAGCACCTTCCTTTAGCCTATTGTTACAATTTTTTCTGTTTGCAGTTGAAATATATTGTAATGAGCATCTTTAAGTAAAATAACGAAAATCTAAAGTCTGTATGTTGACACAAGTTAACTGGGACTCATTCAATCTGAAATCACTGGCCTTTCCCGCGAGTTTATTAAAAGGGCAAGGAAAATTAATTGACCGACCACAAATTTTAGTATCATCGTCACACACGCACTGACTTTTCAATGACTATGATGGAGACTGTGTACGCTTCAGTCTTGAAGACTGCATTTCTGTCGCCAAGGTGGGCATCATTACTTATGTATGAAACCATTAGAAATTTAATTAGAAAATTGGGCGGAGCAATGATACCTGAATTTACAATGTTGTGGTTTACTACGTATTAGAGAACTTGGCATTCTACTACCGAGAAAAAATGACCTTAAATCACATCAATATATACGTTATTTCTAACACATAAAAATCTTCTTCGCAAAGAAAACAAAAGTTTTTGAAACTAAATTAATTAGAATTCACTCACCAGAGCAGCCAGGTTGCTGTATAAGAAGCAAAGGAATATGGGAAATTTCATTTTCGCTTAACTTCAGTCGGGAACCTGGTACTAGCAGCTCAGATCTCTTTCGATTCAGTTCCTGCTCAGGTATTTTACTTTCCTTGACCTCAAGACGAACTGACGCGTCCCAAATAGGCGAGTTCGCGACATCATTTGGCCAGTGGGATAGTATTTGCTCAAATGGTGCCGGTTTCCTTTTTTGTAAGGTATTAACAGTTTCGTCTAAAGTGAAATCTGTTTCATCACCGGAGTCTGAATTGTCTGCAACAGAAATAAAGGTATTAAAGGGCAATCGTCTGTTCAAAGAGTATTTAGTTAAGTTTTAGAAAAGCCCCTTCATCAGTCATGGCAAATGTTACTGGCAAAATCAAACAAGGCGTTTACCGGAATAAAATGTTTAATGACATTGCACGCGCGTATCTTTGTGCACATCTTATATTAAAAATGCGTGCGCGAGAATTTGTAAAAATTAATTTGAAATCGACGTTGATGCCGTTGCGGCCCATTTCCCTTTCGTAAACGGTCGTTGCCAACATTAGTAACCAAGCCTTTACTCGTGATAGATGTAATATATTCCCTGGATTGAGTTACAAAAAGGCAAAAAATACGTTTTCGAATAGTTTTAGAAAGAACGACGTTGGAGTCCAAGTTGAATTTACGTTAAAAATTATGGAAAGGGCTAGGGTCACCAGTGTTTTCAAAATCAGCCGTCGGCCGTCGCATCCGACGGCAACTTTTTGATTTGCGACGCCTACTTTCCCTTCGGTAAATTATATGATAAATAAAACTTTTGATAAAAAGTGGTAAGTGTTCACAAAGCTGTTGCGAGCAAGCAAACTTGAAATTTTTCTGGAGAATTTCGCCAAAACATCGCTTGAGTCTGCTTTTAAAATACGTTCTCTGCGTAATACGTTGAGTAAACGTTGAGGACGACTCGAAGACTGGGTCTCAGTTACAGGGAACATTGTAGTTAGCGGTTTCTGAAGCCACTCTATATAAACCGCCACATTTCGTCTCCAAGAACACGGTAAAATGGCAGAAAAGCGACAGCGTGGTTTACGGGAGATGTGGTCGCTGACAGTGACAAACAAGAAAAAGAAAAAGGATGCTGCAGGTAATAATGTAATGTTTTCCCGAAGATTACCCAAGCAGATGCCGGTACGCAAACGGAAGAGGAAATAGTTCAAATTGAGGAGAAAGAACAAGAAGAAGTGGTAGCAAAAGTCTTCTGCCTAGATGAAGAGCATGGCGAATCGGACGACAGTGAAGCACATGACAGTGGATGGGAGGATGATGACGATGATAGTGAGGACTTTTCTGACTAAAAGTCTTTTTCTCAGAAGACAAAGAATCTCCATGTTTCGACTTGTAGATACTACCATATTTCTGCATATTTCACTTCAATTGAATGATGTAGTAGGACTGAACGGTGTTTGTGATCGATAAGTAATAAGGATATTCAAAATCGTAAATTTTGTTTGAGTTTAAAACAGTTCGTGTATAGCTTTAGTATGTTTTTGAGCCTTTTCCAGGCATCAAGAGAAGGCCCAGAAAAAATGCTTCTGTCTAGACTGGACAAACAGCTATCCAAGTACATGGGTCTACATGAACAAAGTATACACAAGTAGCTTTTGTTGGTTATTGAAAATTCAATTACCTTCGCTGTTTCTTAATCACTTTTACAGTTTTCAACCCAAATTATGTACTAATCTTTAATCTTTAATCTAATCTTTAATCATTATTTATACACGGTAAAAAAAAATCATCAGGTACAATAAATTCCTATACAATGACTAACATACTAAAGCCTTAAAATCCAAATCTTAACATTAAATATTAACTTACAACAATATGCCACATAAAAACCTTGATTGTGGTTAAAGGGTACCCTAATATTGTGGTTAAAGTTACTAAAAGCATCAAAATTTATCAGTATTTTCGATATCTAAAATTTGCTAGTTTTGCGTCTCAAAATGCGGGAAAATGCGTCTCCAAGAGTCTAGAAATTAAAAATTTCCTGGGGGGGCATGCCCCCAGACCCCCCTAGAGAGCAAGGCCCTCCGGGCCTTGCAACTCCTTCTCAAATAAATGCAACTCCTACTTCAAAAACTGTTGAAAACCCTGGTCACCTGTTATTGATGTAACAGTTAAGACAGACAGTTTGCTAGTGCATGTACTTTAATTTTTGGAAATTTTGGCGGGTTGGTGGGGTAGTGTAGTGGTAAGGGAGAGAGATTAGGCTGTTTTAGCAACAGGACGGGAACGTCAAGTGGCGACGGGAAAGCGTGCGAAAAGGACTAAACACGACTTCCGGTGCCCAATTTGCCGCTCTGCCATTGGTCAAGCCAGTTGTTTCATTTGCGCGCACCGTTGTCAACTGATGTTCCTGGTCTGTTGCTAAATCAGCCTCTTAGGATACGAGGGGTCCGGGTTCGAGGCCTAGTTTGAGCCAAGGATGCGATCTTTCTTTTTCATAGAAACACTCTCAATAACAGGTCAAAACTTTTTTAAGTGTCGTAAAGATAGCAGTGACCGTTTACAAAAGGGACAACTCCGCCGCTGGGGGCAAAAGTTGAGGCGTTGTCTGATCGCTGTCCCATCCTTCATCTGCCCATGTCCCAGATGAAGCTGTTGTGGTTGGCAAGATAAAAAAATGTTAGGGCAAGGAATTAAAGGAGAAGTGTTCACCCTGATGATGCCGTAGATCAGTGAACCTCGGATTTCAACTTTTGATTTCAATTATAGCGGTTTAAAAAAGGCGACCTCAATCGAATATATATTTTCATCGTCTAATGTTTACAACAATCTGTCTTCATTATTTTGTTATGTTAAGGTTGGTTCTCCGAGCCAGGGCCTTAACTGACAGAGTCACTTTCCAGTCAGTTTAGGGAGTCAGGTGTAACAAGGGCCAAACAGGAGCGGAGAAGGAATAGTCTCCTTCTCCTTTTTGCTTGTTCCCACAATAACTGTAAGAAGCAATGTGACAATGCTGATCAGGAAAAACAAGAAGGCCTACAAAAGATCTTACTTATTAGAAAAAGTTTATAATAAACATACATGTAAAGAGCGAGTGAATGTCTGAAAGTAAAATGCAGCATCTAAAATAATCTTTTAGCCTGTCCACTGATGTTCATTTTCTTTGTCCACGAATTTTGCAAACACAAGAGAAAAAAAAAAAACAGAAAGAAACGTCTAACTTCTCATTTACCCACTCCACCTTCATTAGCTAGCAGTCAATAAATCCCCTAGGCCCACGAGATCAGTGAAGGGGTAGCTAAACTTTTGAGTATTGTCTTACCAGAATGGATTCCTCCAGCCACACTTCTAATGCTTATCTTCTTTACAGGAAGATTCAGGCGTGGATCCAGCACAGTAAGACCAAAGACACACCCTGGGGGTAGTACTGAGGATGAGCTGGCTTGCTTTAGTCTGCTCCATAGTTCATTTTGAGATGATAATTTGGTTGAACTCCCTTGCAGCCTTTGCCACCATTTTAAAGAAATGTTGAGATTCTTGTTGTTGCAAAGGGCTCCTGAATCTTGATTGACAATTTTTTCTGGAGGTGTTTTTTTACCTGAATCAAGAGCTGGTGTAATTGCAGATGTGAGAACGGCATGTGATTGTGGTCCCGTCAGACGAAAACGAAGCAAATCAAATCGACGAGAGACAACCTTTATCTCGCAATGTTCAATACCATTCAACAGCTGAATATTATCACCGTTGGGTTGGTCTGAGTTAACATTAGAGTTAATCTTGGCAGCTCCAGGAAATTTGGAATCCGTTTCAACCACACAACTCCCTACATATGAGCAAGCTTCAGTTATGGAATCAAATACTGAGTTAAAACTTGCAGGATGAGACCAAATCCACAGTTGAGAAATGTCACAGTGACCATCAAAAGTGTTTTCATTGACGGTTCCTTCTTCTATTTCCAATTGTGATGTGTCTACGTTGGCTTCAGTATCGGAGCTTTTTCTTTGCCTCCAGAGAAAAGAAATAGGGCCAATTGCTCCTTGGGGGTATTGATCAAACTTGTATAGAACAGCATTCCCTTGGCGTCTTCCATTTAAATAGTATTTAGCAGCAAAAGTTAGTCCTAAGAGACAAAAAAATAACACAGCATAATACATAGATGAAACTTCATATTATGTTTGAGATACTGGAGAAAGATTTAACAAAAGAATCATTGCGGTTCAGTAGTAAGAGTGTATGTACACATCTTATGCAGCTGTGAAAAGAAAGCCTGAAAAAAACATGCTTGAAAGGGATTCAGGCTCATGAGATATGTGATACTGATGTAGTGCTCTTACCACAAACATATCATGCTAGCTGAGAGCTACATGTAGTGACTTTGAAATTTTCTAACAAAAATTATATCGACAGAAGATGAATGATGCTAACTACATCAACTGCATGAAAAAGATTTAACACCCGAAAGATAACTGTACTGCAGTAAGTTCACTATGCTTGTACAAAAAACACTAACAAATTTGTGAATGAACTCCCTATGGGTCAGTGACTCTTCAGTGCCTTGATCTGCTTGATAATTTTAATCACATTAATTTTAAGCTACACAAGATGGTTCTAACTTCTGAGTCTGCAGAATGAAGTTATTAAGAGCGACCCTTCTAAATAGCAGCTTTAAAGGAATATAGGGCTGAAAAAACTAAGCATTTTTTTAACGCCTTATGTTTTCATTCATGGTTCATTTTTTGCAGATGAAGAGCCGCCTTTAAAGTTTTGTTGAGAAATTGAGTGCAGTTATAATTTAAAGATACCTGCTTCTTGGCTTGTTAAGTGACCCATAGCTTGAATAATCTGGCTCTTAGCACCACAAACTTCAATACATCCATAATATGAAATGTCCTACCAGTAAAGAAACACAAAATAAATATCATTCCGACACTCAGTGGCATGCAAATGAGGAAGAAATTTGTGTCAGACTCCTTCTGAGACAGCCCTTTATCCACATTTTGTTAGCTTTACTCTTTTCACAAGGTGCTCCATGTAGAAAATGCTCCTGTTTCACCAAGGCCAGCAGATGCACATTAAGCATACTTTTTGTAATTACACTTACAGCTATACCTGTAACATACAGTTGTTCTTTACAGCCCTATATGCTGCTCTAAATCCTTTATCATTTGGATGATCTGCCAGCCTGTAGCCCCATGCATCAATCATTTTCATTCTCTTGGCATGCCAAATATGGGTCTCAAGCCAGACATGCTCACGCTGGCGTCGAGTGTACTCTTGCATCAAGTTTCTAGGTTTTCGACGATAGTGCCTGCTTTTCTTCTTTGGAACTTCCGAAGTCTTGTGATCTTGTTTATTCATCTAAAGGAAGAAGAAAAACTACATGTACTTATCTCCTTGAAAACTTAAAAGTACTGTTAATAATTCTTGGTGCGTAACCTCTGTGCCACCTTCTTCCCTTTCGCTATAATCATTGTACCATTAAATAACTTTAAATACCTGTAAAATTTGGTACTGATGGACAGGGGGGAGAGGCAAAATGAGCACACTGTCAGCCTCAAGTTTGTTGCTCAGATGATTAGTATTTCAAGCTACCAACACGAAATATACAGTAGACTCTTTACTTGTTTACCTTCGCTTGAAACTCAAATTAACAACAGCCCCTTTTACCCACCCAATCAACAAACAGTTGACTACACTACTTGGGTCTATACAGTGTTAGAACAGCAGTGTGGATCTTTTGCATCCCACCCAAGCCGGATCAGTGTCAGTGTTGTGAGATGGCAGGTTTTTGCTACCTTTTGGAGAAAACTAAAATGTCTAACTACTTTCATTATTTACTCAAAATATTTCACCGTTTCTGATTATCTTAAATCCCTTAGGTAATTCTTTACAACTAGCCAGCACTGACCAGACTTAGAAGATGCCTGCAATAATATTATACCATCAATTCAATGGTATATTTGCTTGCTATCGAAGGTGAACTTAACATCGATGGAGGTGATCGGCTCCTGATGGAGGTAAGCACATTTTAGCTTTGTTTTTAAACTAGGAATTATTATGAATGAATGATAAAACAATTATTGAATTCGGCTTTCGTATCTTATGAAGAATTATGGAGACCTCGGAGGGTGTTATCCGTCGAGGCCATAACACTCTCATCAATCTCCATAATTCTTCATAAGATAGTCAGCCTCATTCATTAATTGTTAAATAATGAAAAAATGTCGCCTTACGTATTAGACGTTCCACTTAACCTGCAATCTCTCCCTCCCTCCCCCCACTCCCTCTTCCCCACCCACCACAAACAACCTGTCAAAATGTGGACACTTTTTCTTCCAAAAGTGTCAACATAAAATTAACCCTCCCTTCAGATTTCCATTTCCAACAGGCACCGACAAAAAATCGAGGGTTTCAATTCCAGCCATCTTTAAGGGGAGGGGGGTAATGCTTGGGAGTTGATAATGGTACATCCCAATGTACCAGCGCACATTCCCACACACACCACGTGCCATTTTTTGCTAACATTATGAATTCATTTTTAACCTCAAAGGAAGCTCTTTGGCGTAGCCGAGATGGTATTCGCTTGATATTATGACTCATTGCTCGTCTCCTCATGTGTTTGGGAAGTGTTTGAAACAAACGCTTGCCGCTCAAACCGTCAGCTTCCTTAATGGCCTCCACCATGTTGCTGATTTCCAGTGCGCGAGCCTCGGCGAATTCAGCGGCGTTAATTGCTCTCGGCGCTTGAGAGATGATAGCAGGTGTAGAGGACGAAGGAGATTTAAAACCAAGAATCCCTCCCCTTTTCCTCTTCCGACTTCTTTTTTCTTTCACTCCGGACGCTCCCGCTTCACTCGTGGACGCCATCTTGATCCCTGAGAGTGCGTGCATCCTTTCCAGCGGCTAAGTTTTTGTTACAATGCGCAAACAATGTGAAAAGTCAAATGTATCTTGCGCATTGGTTTTGATTAATGCCAGCGATTTACCGTCTGCTGCTTGTCTGCTACTATATAATCCTGCTGCTGGGATTTTCCTTCTTCCTGATACTCTTCTACAACTTCTCTCTGCTGTTCTGTTCTCTTGGTAATGAGATGTCGGTCTTACCATCAGTAATAGTCAATGCAACTTCTAAACATACGGCTTCGGTGAGTCTTGCTATAATACAAGTTTGCATGTTCTTTTTCTCAATATTGAAGACTTTAATAAATTAGCTTCTAACTTTTTTCTGGTAATACTTCATTTCTTTTATCTCCCGCAAGGCTCTTATTTTTGGGTTTTTTACCTCTGAATTTAAACCTTCATGGAAGATTTACTTCCGTAGTTTCAGTTTGTTGGTTTACATTTGACAAATGGCGTTTATGATTTTGAGGGAGGCTGATAGTCTTTGGTAGAATTATATAGGTGACTTCTCATTAATGCACCGTATCATCGCATAACCTCATACCCTGTAAGCTTAACGTTGAATACTTCATGTGAAAATTAACTTATTCTCACACCTTGGTAAGAAATAGTGCGATAGTGTGTATTTTTTGATTCGTGAACAATATCCCATTGTCTATATATCAACCATGGTAAGATTAAAACTTTGATTTCTTTGACGATTGAATCTCATATCCATGGTAAGATTAAAACTTTAATTTCTTTGACGATTGAGTCTCATACGAGGAAGACCACATTTTTTGCAAACTCAAACTTGTAACGAGATAAAAATTTCTTGTTTTGACAGTCGGGTGTACCACTCTTGTTAGAAGTTGAATATAGCTGTCAGTTTAAAGTCATTTTTCTTTTTTAGCGTCTAGGTTATTACTAAATATTCATTGTTATGACAATTAGTGTACAAATAGACATTAAATTTATATCTTCAATATTTAAAACAGCTGACATTAGGAAATTATTCTGGTTAACATGATTACAACCCAGTTTGATTGCTAATTTAACACGTTGTATTATGTATCTGAAACAAAAAAAATAAAATAAAAGTACATTAATAATTTAACCCAAATTTTATTTTAAAGTACATCATAATGATATAGTTTGTATCTACATGACTGCATAATTTTGACTTACTAAATATGTAAGGAATATTTTTTGTACATGTATGAGTTCTTTCTTTCCAAATACTACGAATAAGTAAATAAATAAGATAAAAAGAGTGTTCTGGGTAAAGTAAAATGGGTCCGTTGTAGGTGAAGTATGTGCAATTTCTTTGAAATCTACAAAGAGCGGGGATTACAGTTCATCAATTTAGTATTTACGGTAGTTGCAGGAAAATGAAAATTGACTTTCTGGTGACTTAAGTTTGAGTTTCTTAGACATGGCTATTTCTCTTGACCACTAACCCATTTTGAGTTTAAAACAAACTCGGTGCTCAAAAAGTTGCTGTTTATGTGTGATTTGAATCCTTAGCATTGGTGGCAGGTACATGTACTACACTCTAGACAATTGAGCTAATAAGCCATTTGGGAGCAGGTCATTAGTCTACAGTGTATTTTAGTTGGTTATTATTAACCTGTTTGAATCTCTTATAAGCCCTGAACTTTTCTTGGCCTTGTGTCCACAACCTCCAAAGTTGTGTCTTTACATTAATTCCTCATCGCACAATTCAGGTATATTTTGATTTTCATATACTAGTTGTTTATATCTTCATCATTTTACAGGTTTGTAATGTACTAACTAAATGGCTAGCTCCCAGTTGGCTTGTTAGGTCAATTGGTTAGAGCATAGCCTGCGTAGCAAGCATTTCCACGCCAGGTCGTCGAGAAAAGTTGGGACGAGAGCAAAAAAAAAGAATGACAGGGGAGGGGGAGGGGAAAGAAGGAAACGCTTGCCCGCAAACCCCACAATTTTGAAAAACTGCATTCGCCCACAAACGCAGCTTCTGATTGGTGCGGTGCTGGTAGTGTTGATTACTTAACACTCGAAACATCAATCAAACCAGGTATGCTTTGTTTACTTGCGACACAGATCTGGTCTTATCTGATTTGTGGTCGCAGATTACCAATTGTTTGGACTGATTTGAATCGTGTTTGTGCGAAGGTTTATGAGATCAGAGTCTTTAAAGTATAAAGGGAGATCGAGCAGTGAAGACTAGGGAAAGCCAATTTATTGGGAATGACTGCGTGCGGATCTGACTGGAAAAAAGGGCTGTTTGTTGGAGATAACATCAACGTAAATCAGAACATTAGTACTCGACACTAGCTAAAGCCGCCATGGACAACCGATTTGTCAGCTTTTTGAAATGAAAAGATTGTTTTTGTTTATTGGAAATTTAGCGGCATGTATTGTAGAGAATGTTTCGACACTGGCTGAAGAGCAGCCGCTCTGCAAAACTTATAGCTGGTGGAGTGAATTGTTCCGGACAAATCATTTTTGACGTTTCGACAAGGTTTCAGACGAGATAAAGCCACACAATAAAAAACAAGAAATTTCGCAGCAATCACTCAGAGTTTTAACCTTCTTTTATAGTAAACCTTTTTTATTACTGTGCAGTTTTTGCAATTGCCTGGAATGTGTTCTATCAGAGAACAAAGTAATTTTACAAATCTGGTAATCCACGGGTAATCTTCTCGTTATTCTTTTATTTTGATGAGCTGTCAATTTACAAATGAACCGAACCGTGAAATATCAAGGGGCGTTTTCCAGAATCGTGAGGTTTGCGGGCAAGCGTTTCCTCTTCTCCCCTCCCCCTTCCACAGTTTTTTTTTGCTCCCGCTCCCCCCACCCCCCCGTCCCGCTCTAACTTTCGTGCCATAACTCGATTGGAAACGCTTGCTACGCAGGCTAGTTAGAGCGGTGCACTGGTTTTACAAAGGTCAAGGGTTTGAACCATACATGTACAAGCCTGCATTCTTTCTGGCTTTCTTTTAACAAGTGTACTGCTCTCTCCCAGAGAATTGAGTGTGCAGTTTGTGTGGGGTATGTATTGTCACTTTTTACAAATCTGGAGCCTTTCCATCATGCTTTGTTTTGTTTTTGGTTATGTTTTTGCTTGTAAACTGGTAAGAAGGCCTTCCAAATGTTGATTGGCGAACACCAAACTCAAGTGGCGTTTTATACCTTGATGCTTTCTTACTGCCCAAATCTGAAAGCTTCAAGCACTTTGAACAAAACAAGTTGGTATAGCTACAAACACTTTGTCAAATTACATGTCCTAAGGGCTGATGTTTCATTGGTCAAAAGTGACACGTATAACTACATACCAGGGCTTCTGGTAGGTTGCGGAAAAAACTCAAATTTCGCGGGATTTTCAGAGTCAAATTCAGGGACAAAACATCCTATTTTGCGGGAATTTTGGGGGAAAATTTTGCTGACAAATGTTTGGTTTTCCACAGATTTGACAAAAGTTTTTAATGGAAATAGACCGCAATTTTGAATTTTGTGGCTCTGCGACGACGTGAAATAATCTCAGAAGCCCTGACATGTAGGCAAAACAGTTAGTGTTGTTGCTTAATAACAGGTTGTATTAATAGTGCTGCATAACAATCTCCAATAGCAACTTACAGCAAGCAGTTCATTAGGGCCTAGAAGAAAATCTGGGAATTAATATACTATAATAAAAGAGTACATAATGTAGTCAACATAAAGTACAAGGTTTACTGAAGGCTTGACCACATGGTAGGACTATGTAGGACAGTATTTTTGTTTTAAAAAAATGCAAATTAATTTAGGGCTCATAAAAATAAAGAAAAACTGATTATGTCATATTGTGTTGTTTTAGTTGATTTTCCTTCATGGTCTTGGAGATACTGGGTAAGTGAGTAATGTTCTTATAGTAAAGACATAATTATCTACTCTTCCAGAGATGTCACATTAAAGCAAATTAATGTGACCTGCGGTATAACTTAATATTCATTTTTAATTGCCTGAAACAGGATGTTGAGTCCCACTCCAAAGCAGTGAATAGCCAAGTTTATTCTAAGTTTCAGGAGCCAATGAAAATGTGTGAAAATTGCTATCCATTTGATTTGGTAAAATACCACTTCAGTAATAAATATTATGAAATATTATGTACACTGTAACCACTTCATAGCCAAAAGATACATTTCTACATGTTATTGGGAATTGATTATTCTGTTAAACTTTGTTTTCTTTGTTAGACATGGTTGGAGTCAAGGATTCAGTGGTTTAGGAATTAATCATTTAAAATCTATTTGCCCAAATGCGTAAGTACCTCATAATATTATATTATTATGTTAGTTTCAGTAGAACCATCTACAGTACTTCTTGTATTCCTGGGTTCAATGTAATAAATCTTCTAGTGAATTTACTTGTAATTTGCAAGTGAAACCTTTATTTTAGAGTCTGAAAACAATAGCTACACTTGTACGATACACTGTCTTGTAGGTGTTTTATTAAATTGACCCCACTGCTACAGTTTTCTAAAGGCACAAATAATTCCCAAGGGGAGGGGGATGGATGGACTGTCAAATTCACTGGGATATAATTTGGTACTTGAAACATTGCATGTGAAAGTTTTTTATTTCACATTTGTTAATTGAGCAAGTTGGTACATGTAAGCAGTGTCCATACCATGGGTGACTGTCATTTCTACTGAAATGAAAACTCTTACAATGTACATATTCTTCATGATGAAGTATTACATTCCCACTTGAGTGGTGAAGAATGGTATATCCAAAAATGGCTAGTCTCACAAAATATAACACAAGTCTCACATTCTCTAGTTCATTTTGGAAGAGACTCTTGGAATCTTAGGTCTACTCGCCCCAGTCCTCTCTCAAAAATCGAAGAAAATGCATGTAGTGTGCACTTTCTGCAGCTCTGCCGCAACAAGGAGTACGGTGACCCCCATATTTTATTTCATGATTTTAATAAGAACAGTGCTTCCTTTCAATGAGAAAAAATATAGGCATGAATCTATGTTCAGTTTTTTGACAATTTTACTAATTTGTGTGGATTGAGCTAGAATGGGTCCAGTAGCGCGTCTCAAAATTAAGCTTACTTTGGAGTGTAAAGTAAAAACAAGGGCAAAAAAGGCATTTTTCTGGTACGTAAGTGGATAAACAATACATTTAATTCAAATTCTGTGCAATACCACGTGCATCATCTAAAAAATCTCTCCTTTTTGTCTAGCTTTGGGCTGCGTGGGGTTTTTGCTAAAGGGTCCTAAATAGCTGTATTTGTCAGCATTGTGACATCAAAATGAGCAGGGTGACCCCCACTTTTTATTACTTTTTTATCATCTTCTTGACTTGTTACATCAGTGCACCAAGTTTCATCTACATTCTATGTTAGGGCCTTTTACTAAGGAATCACCTTAATGCACTCTTGAACATTTTGTAGATCAGTTATTCCAGTGACATTAAATGCAGGATTTAGGATGCCAGCCTGGTAAGTGAACTGTTACAACAGGAATTTTAATGAATTATTTGTGAACATTCATGCCATGCTTGAGGCTGAATTTTAGTGCTCACACCAGAGCCATATCCCATGGTGATTAATCCATACTGTTGTCAAGTACAAGTACGGTAATCAGGGTTGTCACTAAGATTTCAAGTTGCCGGGTATTATTTTGTTGTTAGTAGCCGGGAAAGTCGCAAGCATTCATGGACGCCCCAACCCCCGCCCCCTTACCCCACAAGAGGTTTTTGAAGTGCAACTTCTACCATTTTCCGAAAGGCATTACCGCCCCGAAAAAGCAATCTTCATCAAGAGTACAGCTATCATTAGCGGTTTTATGATGATCACGTCTTTATTAAAGAAAACTACAACATTCTGAGACACTAAAATAATAAGTTTTTACTTTACGTAAAGGCTCGTTGGAGGGTTTTTTTAGTGGCCGACAAATGGGAATATACATGTAAGCACCAGGTCTGAAAAAAATGACAGGTAGGCACCGGTCACGTTATCTGCGCAGTCTTATCTTCACGTAGACAAGGCGCATGCTGGCCAGTGAACTTAACAAATGTTAAAAATGTGGAAAGGACAATCGATTCTTATTATGGTGCAAAGGAATCAACATGCGCTGTAAAATCAATTATAAATCCTCATTTAGTTATACGCAAGAATGAAACAACTTACGGAAAACAAAAGTAAAACTGATATTACAAATGAATTAACCCAAGGAGAAGCGGAAAGACCACAAGCGGACGATGAATGTACGAAAAAGCATAAGCAACATAAGGTTACTATGGTTTGTTGAAAAATAAAAGTATGATAAGGCTAAAACAAGCGTAACGTACGAAAAATCGCGGGATAAAATATGGCAAAACTTAACTGCACAACTGGCAACATTAGTGGTCTCGAATTTATGGACGAAACATCACTTAACATCCGAAGAAACTGACCCACGGAAAAGAGTTTAAAAGACAGGGCTAATACTTTATCAACGATGCTGAGATGTCAAAATGAGACTCAAGGAGAAGAATGCAAAAGTAATGCTAATGCTTAACTTCCCTTTTATATATAACCTCTTGGAAGTAGAACTGAGAGGATGTGATCATGACCTGCGGACAATGATCGAACATTTCCCGTTGACCGTGCGTTATTTTATATACTCGATACCTAAAGCTAAATGTAGACCTGGTCACTTGAATGTCAATTTATTAAACATAGCAATCAGTCATAGTCTTCATATCCAAAGCCTTCATCATAATCCTCATTATCATCAACATCAGCATCAGGGAGGTTTAACGCTCGGATGAAGCCTCAACTTCTTGTCTGGTGTCAACAGAGATCTGCTCAGCTCTTTCATCGTGAACAAAGAGTGCAGATTCCTTTGCCACTTCTTCGACATTTTCAACACAAAGCCGACACAAAGGTTGAAACTAGGGACTTTCAGCACCGACAAAGGTGACGGCAGCAAAAACGTCACTTTTAAAATGAATTGGCGTTTTTTCTAACTTTGTCGCGTTTATTTCAATTCGCTGAAAATAGCTAATGTATGCCAATTTCCCTGGAGTAGATTTCTTTGGGACCGCACTCAAGTTTAGAAAGAGAAACAAAAAGTTTGTCGTCCCTTTTTTACGTCATCCATAAAACGTGAAACTAGGCATTTCCACGTCGTAGTCGCGTGCAGTAACGGCAAAGAAATGTACAAAAAAGCGTGATGCACGTGTAAACTAGTTGTTTTGCTCAGTAAACCTATTGCTTTTTTGACGTTCTCGTTGCCGTCGCCGTAGTGGTTGCTAAAACCCCCTACTGACGTTTCGCGAACGGATAGTTTTCGCGCGTCTGTACTAGTACCAAATGTAAGTCAGATGTCTTTTTCCCACATTTCTTAGTTTTTGCACGCGAGTATTTCAAAATTACTTAAACCTGCTGCAGATGAAACTTGCATTTAGTTTGATGGATAGTCTTTGTGTGTTTCAAAGGTGTGCTCTTTTGGTTTAATTTAACGACGAAAGTAGCCGGGGGCCATGCTCTGAGTAGCCGGGGGAAATCCCCGGCCCCCAGCCCTTAGTGATTATAATAATAATTATCAGTTCACACATTCTGTTGCACAATAAGTGTTTGCATCCAACAAAACTAAGGGTCACAGAACTTTGTACACTTATTGCTGTCTTAATTGTTGCTATTCAGTGATGTATTGAATGATATTGTTATCTGAAGGGCTTCAGGAAAGAGCATGTTTGTGTTACAGCTGTAGTTTCTTAATTTTTGAATGCATGCTAAATTTACATACAAAGATTTTTACTTATTGTCACTTGTTTTTGCGTTAAGGAAGCATTATAGATACTGTTAACATTTTCTCAACAATTTCCACTATTCTATATGTTGGCAGAAATCACATATGCAAAAATGTCTACTTTCCTGGTGGTTTCTCTTGTGATATATCACGGACTTGCATATCAAAACAATGTGTTTAAACAAACACTGAAACTTTTTAACTATTATTTGGCAGTAGTGAGTTGATGCAACATGACAGCAAAAAGAGGAGGACAGCAAATGCTTGTGTGCGACAAACTTGACATGACTCTCACTGTACTTGCGTGTTTTTTTGTGATCTTAACTGAACACTACTGTGTTTTGGCCTCTTTCAAAAAGATCTATCAAAAGAAAGGAGAAGTTCGGCGGAAAGTTTTTCAAAAAGTCATAATTATTCTTGTGCTTGTCACACACGATTTGCTGTCTTCTTCCCTCCCCCATCCTGTTGTGTAAGTTCACTAATATCTGTGGCTATCATGCAGCTCAGGGCTTGACAGTGGCCTCAAAATTGCTTTATTTAACTTCTCAACTGAATTGTAGTATGTGTAGGCCGTTTTTCTAACAATTGAAATAATTTTGCATCATTTTTGTGAGTTTTATATCCTATTAAATCATATTTTAAGTAGTTAACGACTAGGAGCTATGGTCGTTAGTGTTTTTGTGTTCTTTCGTGGCATGTTGGCTCTCTGTAGGGCTGTTGCTTGACTGTTTTAGCATTTGTAGCATTTGCCACTGTTTGTGAGCATGGGGGCAGATTCCTGTCCAGCAGTATGTCGCTTCTGCACATGTGCAGGCCATGGCAGGTGCCTACATTGTGTTTGCGTTTTGCTCAAAGATTTGTTGGCGTGGCATTCTTTTCTAGTAGCATAGCATTTCTCTTGGTTCTGTCCAAATTTTGGTTGGGGTGGGGTATTTTGGTGGCAGTGGAGCAGGAGCCGCAAGTAATCCTTGATGGTAAGCTCATGGTTTCCTCGTCATAACGTAGGCAAGTGGAAATAGAAGACATTTTGACTTGGACTGAAGCCTTCACTATTTTTCATATGATGCTGTGCGCAGTACACCCTCATCGTTGGCCCGATCTGACCATGTATTAGCTGCTTATCAGTCAAATGGCAGGTCAGTTCTCTGGTTCAAATGGTGTCTCATCCTCGAACTCTCATCTCCCGCCAGGCACAGCATGTACGATGGCATCCCCAAGCCTTCCTTCACAGTGCAGTTTGCATCAGTCAATGAGTTATTGACGGCATCATGGCCCATGGTCATGGAATGCTGACAGCTAAGTTTGATGTGGCCAGTGCATACAGGAATGTGGTTATCCATCCAGACAATTGCCCCTTACTTGGGATGCAGTGGCATGGTTGATATGCTTCTCCCTTTTGGGCTGCATTCTGCACCATTTATTTTCACATCCATTGCAGACCTGGTTGAATGGATCCTGGTTCATAATTATGGCATGGACTTCCTACGCCACTACCTAGATGACTTTTTTACCCTTGGCCCACCGTCGTCCCAGATCTGCCACTCCTATTTACTTACCCTTGTTCACCTTTGCCAAATGCTAGGCCTCCCCCTTTATCCTGACAAGTTAGAGGGACCTGCTACTTGCTTAACTATCCTCGGGATTGAACTTGACTCCCATAGGCTTCAGGCTCACCTTGCCGCAGAGAAAAGAGTCTGGATTGCTGCGTTGCTTGAAGAGTGGTCCACCAAACATTTTTGTAAGAGGAGAAAGTTGGAATCCTTGATTGGTCACCTCCATCACACCTCCAAGGTTGCCCCACAGGGGAGGGCATTTCTTCGTCGAATGATTGACTTGGTTTGTGCCTTCCGCCTGGATGATCATCAGGCTAAACCAAGAATTCCGTCAGGAGCTTACCTTGTGGCAGGAGTTTTTTCAGACCTGGAATGGCCTCAGTTTCTTTTGCATGCCCATGTGGGTGCCCGTCCTGGACTTCCAAGTCTCCTCAGATGCAGCAGGCTCCCTGGGCTACGGGGCTATTTTTAATGCCCAGTGGTTTTGCGGTGCTTGCTCAAGGAAGCAAAAGTCAATATTGATCACATACAAGGAGTTCTTCCCCATTGTTGTTGACGCCGCTTTATGGGGTTCTGAGTGGGTTTCTCAGCAGGTCGAGTTCCTGTGCAACAATGAGTCAGTGGTCTCTGTACTTAAGTCTGGCTCTTCATGGCACCAACATTTGATGGAGTTGCTGCACCATTTGTCCTTGCTGGCTATATGCCATTCATTTGTGTGTATTGTGTCTTCAGTTCGTGGCAAGGTCAATCCAGTAGCTGATTCCCTCTCACACTTTCAATTTGAGCGTTTTCGTTGTCTGGCACCTCAAGCCGACTTGACTCTGTGCGTGATTCCTTAGTCGCTTCTGACTTTTGCCACCAGGTTGGTCGCCTGAACAGGGATGGCTCCTTCCTTCCTACCGATGAGGAGACTCTCATTGGCTTTGCTAACAATGTACACTCTTGGCCGACAACTTGACCCACACATCTATTAAAGTATACTCGTCAGTGGTATGCTCCCTTCACGTGACCGTGGTTTGTTGGATCCTTTCATCAACTGCCTTTATTTGCAGCGTTTGGTAAGTGGAATATAGCGGCTTGATTAGGTCCAGTGTCACCCAGATGCTTCTCTATAACCCTGGATCATCTGCGGATGATTCAGCTTGGACTGGACTTCTCCGGGAGAGACCAAGTGATGCTGTGGGCGGCATGCTATTTGGCTTTCTTCAGTTTCTTACATGCTGGGGAGTTTACGGTGAATTCAGCATTTCAACCTAGTATCCATGACTATTGATGACTTGCAAACTGACTCGCTGGTGAACCCTACCTGTTTTAAAGTTCATATCAAGTGCTTGAAGAGTTATCCGTTTTGCATGGGCTGTGATATAAATGTGGGGCATGCTGAGAGATTGGTGTGTCCCATCTGCGCTTTGGGTGACTTTCTGGCTCTGCGTGGCTCTTCTGAGGGACCTCTCTTTACATTTAGTGATGGTCACCCTCTTACTTGGCAACAGTTGTCTTCCACAGTTTGGTCTATCTTACACTCCTGCTGGTTATACTGGCTCCTATTCAGGCCATAGCTTCCGTATTGGGGCAGCAACTACGGCCGGTGCCGGGGGAGTTCCGGATCATCTGATCAAGATCCTAGGTCGGTGGTCCAGTGATGCCCACCAGATTTATATTCACACTCCAGTTAGCTCCATCGTCCAGGTCTCCAGACAACGGGTTGCATAGCAGGTATCTCCATTACCATTTGGACTGCATTGGGGTTGGGTGTCTCAGGCTTGGGCCCTCGGGGCCTGTGGCTCTGTAGCCTCGAGCCCCCTTGGTTGCTTCAGGTTTTTCTACCTGGAGGTCTCTTCAGCCTGGCACGGGGAGGCAGGTGGCTGGATTGCAGGTTGGTAGGCCTGTGGGTGTTTCTCTGCCTTGGGGTGTGCCTGTGGTTGCAGCCTCCTGGACCCTAGGTACCCAAGCTCCACTTGCAATGAGGGCGTTAAATACTATTAAATCGTATTTAATCTAGTTAAGGACTAGGAGCTATGGTCTCTAGTGTAATTTTTTGGCATTCTTTGGTGGGATGTTGGCTGTCTGTAGCGCTGTCCCGTGACTATGTTAATGTTTATAGCGTTTACCATTGTTTGTGAGCATGGGGGCATATTCCTGTCCAGCAGTCTGTCACTTCTGCGCAAGCACATTCCATGGCAGGTGCCTACGTTGGGTTTGTGTTGTACTCGAAGCTTTGTTGGCATGGTGTTCTGTTCTAGTAGCGTAGTGTTTCTCTTGGTTCCCCTCCCTCCCTCCACTTTCTTGGTCTAGGGTCCTCCCCCCCTCCTGGGATTTTCATATTACTTCCACTAAGTTTCTGGCCTCATTGTGATGGGTGCTACAGTGGGGGGCTGGGCACAGGGGTCTTGCAGCTGGGTTGGGGGTTGGTAGGCCTGTGGGTGTTCTTCTGCCTTGGGCTGTGATTGTGGTTGCTGCCCCCTGGGCACCCAACCTCCACTATGCAGGCATTAATGACTGATTAGCCCTAAAAACCCCTTACAGACTGTCACATGCATAAGAAAAGACTTTTTTGTAGTACAAAACTAACCTTGCCAGTTGTATTTTGTTACAGGTTTGACATCTATTCTTTAAATCCAGGGCAAAGAGAAGATGATGAAGGAATAAAGAGTTCAGCCATAGAAAGTTTGTATCCAGTAATTTAATGCTGTGCATGACTAAAACTAGATTTTGTAAGACAGTGCTAGCGTTATTAATAACAATTAGACGGATTGAAACACACACCTGATGTAACGAGTCTTCACTAATAGCCAATAACATCAGGGCTTAACTGACAGATGACCAATAACATTGCGACTTAACTGACCAATCAGGTCAATAACCAGAGTTTAATACCCTCAACTGACGTGATACAACTCACTTTAACTCTGAAGATGAAATTCTGCACAGGTTGTAGAAATGGGAGTCACTGTCAACAACAACATAACAGTCCTATTCAGGACTACATTCACCCAGAAGAACATACTCAACCTACTTACATTGAGTCAATAGCACAGACATGTATTTCAATATTTACAAGGTAAATACACTTTGTCACACTCTCAGTAAGCCAGTTTTCTGACTGGCCATCATAAATGGATTGAGATTGTATTATCAAGAAAGGAACAATTCTTTATCTTTTTATCTTTAATCAGTTAATTATCAATAGTACAGGCTAATCATTGCAATGTGTGGTTGATGGCAAATAACTTGTAACTATGGCCTTAAACATGGGCAAAGAAGGAGTATTAATAACAGTCCTTAAATTTGCAATTACTTACCGGTATTTGGGAATATCCTGAACATACAATCTGTGACATTAGAACTTTCAAAATTGATGGAATAACAGTGACATGTTGTTCTTGACTTCCCTTCCCCTGTGCCTTTCAATGTTGGCCTTGAACTTGGACAATTCCACCGCAAAACCATTACAAAATAACATTGGAAGAGAGAAAGACAGGTATCAGAGCAGTTTGACCCAAGTTGAGTGTCCTTGATTGTAGCTCCAAACTGCCAACTGATAGTGTACAAGGCCAGTCTTAAATACGGAATTGCAAATGCCCCATGGTGGGTGTGCTCTGTTTTGATAAATATTAATGTACACAATGTCACTTGGGTGTGAGAAAGTATGTAAGTCACCAATGTATGTTAAAATAATTCAGAAATTAGAAAAGCTGTAATTATAAACAACAGGTGCAGACTCCTCAGGCTCTGTCATGATAAACTAACATAAGTAGGTTACAGAGACTCTTAAATGGACACAAAACTTACAGAGCTTTGCAAGATTCCAAGTAGACCTTTCTAGAAGTCCGTGCAGGCTTACACGATGGGCGAACACTGGAGCTGTAACATTTCTTGTATTTTCAGTAAGGAAGTTAGTTGAAGAAGAGATCAAAAGTGGGATACCATCAGACAGAATTGTATTAGGTATGATTTAAATCCATAATAAGTCGTTTTATTGCAAATGTCAATTGCTAGCTAGCTCCAGTGATCAAATTTTTTAAATAGCTAGAACTTATGTAACCTGGGAAAGGAGGCTACATTTTCGCTGATAGTGAAGTAGCCTCTGCCGACAACCGTTCAATTTTCTATCGTGCATGCGTGAAATTCATCACGCGATTCGCTAGCAAAATTAATCATCAGGTCTGTCGTCAAATGGCGTGAGTTTTGTGGGAATAGAAAAATTGCGACAACTCTGATCTGCTATGCAAGACTCGTGCAATGCTCTAAACCAGTCAAGAATAGGAAAAACCCGTTGTTTTTAAAATTTATTTGTCCAGATTTCTGGATGGATTTGATTTGTTGTCAGCAGAGGCTACTTTTCACTTGACAACTCACACAGCAAAAATTTAGCCTCTGCTCGCAGGGTAGAACTTATGTTACAGGTAAAAGTTAAATTCAGGTTAAAATGATTAACCTAGGTTGATTCTCAATTTCCTTTGTCTCCTATCCTTAGTTATTCATGAATTAGGGCTATAAGGAGACAAAGGAAATTGAGAATCAACCTAGGTTAAATCATTTTAACCTGAATTCAACTTTGACCTGCAACACTTGTAAGCTCCTGAGACTGAAAGTTTTGTTTAAAAATGATTATATACTAGCTAATGAGCACCACTTATTAACAACCATCTGTAAGTTGGGTTCAGGTGACTTTACTCAAGTGCATCAGAGTACCATTGTCACTAAATGTTATACACTGCACAATTAACAATAACTTAATCAGTAACAGAAAGAAGCAGTGGAAATGTTTTTGTGGCACCAAAAATATTATATATTTTTATCTAGCTTGTAATTAAACATTTCATTTAATTCATGGCTATTTGGCATATTTACAAGTTATTTTAGCCATGTAAATCTAAGGAAAATTTGTTTGTAAAACAATTCTGTAACAACAATTTCAGACATACACTGTAGATTATTAAATAAATAAATATTATTATAGAATAGCATTTTAAGAAGAGAGTGTGTTGTATGACTGCAGGTGGATTTTCTCAGGGAGGAGCCCTTGCACTATACACAGCCTTAACCATGGAGAAAACACTTGGTGGTATCTTAGCTCTTAGTTCATGGCTTCCTCTTCACAAGGAGTTTCCAAAGGTCATTAGTAAACTTATTTTATTGGTGTTATTGTTGGTTGAGTGCTTTATTTGTTGTCGTTGTGAATGCAAACAAGGAAATTTTAGATTAATCACTGGCACAATTTTTTACTTTTTTGCAAGTTTGAGTACAAGTTTATTGCTTATATACAATGATAATATAATTACAATAATTTGTACTGACCTGCAGGTAGCAAAACTAATCAAGGCAGGTCGGTCTCATTTTCTATTTTTACAATCTTATTAAATCATAACAAAATTCAAATGTTCGTGGAGCTGTTTCTAACACAAATGCTCAGCTGTCAGTTCAAGCAATTAAGACAAGTGACCAATATTAATTTTGTTGTCGAGATACTCTACTTTAAATCAGAAAAACTGCTCGAAACTTTGCAATGAAACCATTTGCCTGCATTTTTTCCACTTGAGTTTGAACAATTATTCAGTTGACAAAGTTGCATTAGTTTTTGATGTACAACTGTATAAGAGTTTCTACAGATAATCTATGAGGACAGCAATGAACATGTATTTAGCAGCAATTTGTTTGTTCATGTTGCTAGTGGCCTAATGACCCCCAAGTCAAATCCTACCTTTACCTTTGATCACATTCCTGTGATGTCTTTGTTTTTTATATTTAGTGTGTTAAAGGAAATCGTGACACTCCAATATTACAATGCCATGGTAAGTCACTTGGTACCGAGGGTGAGAATTATTATGTAGTAATTTTTGTAGAATGACAGAAATTTGTGTTAATTAAATCATATTTAATTTTAGAGTTTTTGATGAATATGTTTTCACAAGTTACCAGTCAAAAGCCACTCACCAATATTAAAAGTTCTATTCACAACCAGTTGCTGATTACGTAAAAGGCTTACACTGGGAACTAAGTGCTAATGCCTCACGTTCAGTCACGCATGGAATCTACATGGACTGGTGTGGGTGTCAAAATTAAATTCAGGTTAAAATGATTTAACCTAGGTTAAATCTCAAAATCCTTTGTCTCCTATCTCTAGTTATTCATGAATTAGGGCTAGGAGAAAAAGGAAATTGAGAATCAACCTAGGTTAAAAAATTTTAACCTGAATTTAAATTTGTTCTGTAACACTTACAAGCTCCTGAGACTGAAATGTTTGTTTTAAAATAATTATATAGCTCATGAGCGGCACTTATTAAGAACCATCTGTAAGTTGGGTTCAGTTGACTTAGCCTGCGTAGCAAGCGTTTCCTCGCGAGGTTCGTCTAGAAAGCTGGGACAAGAGCAAAAAAAAACATGAATGACGGGGGAGGGGGAGGGGAACGAAGGAACCTTTTTTTTGGCTTCCGCTCTAACTTTCGCGCAATAACTCGATTGGAAACGCTTGCTACGCAGGCTACAGGTGACTTTTCTAAAGTGCATCGGAGTACCATTGTCACCTGACAACAGGGGCTGGTTACATAAAAGGCTTACAGTGGGGACCTAAGTGCTAATGCCTCATGTTCAGTCAGGCCTTGAATCTACTTGGACTGGTGTGGGTGTTAGCAAGTGTCTGACGTTAATCTGACTAAAAATTAGACACGGTTGGAGGTAAATGTATATGTAAGCTAGTCGTAAAGTGCTCCCTATTGGCTTTATTCTGTAGCGGGCATTGCAAGTAAATAATGTCTGGCCTAATTATTAGTACCTGTGAATGTCTTGCTATTGCAACCATCGCCAATGTCTGGCATACGTCTGGCATAGATTATGCCTAACAACGTCAGACATAAGGCTAACGTGGTATATAAGGACTGGTGTATAAGCAAGTTTCATGCAACTGACCCCAGACTTCACTTTCCCACATTAGATTCGGTAATCATATCTAATCTGATTATAGATTACACGTATTATCCTAGTTGAAAACACTTAGTAGACCAGGTTCAGTTACCATACTTCACATGAAATATCAAATTGAATTCAATTTGAACTTTACCTGACCCAAATTAATTTAGGCCATCTCCAGGATGATTCATATGCTATCTTTATCCTAACTAAATTCTTACTCTGAGCTTCAGTTTGGTTCGGCGGATGTGAAGTTTGGCATCTGAATCAATGCTGTTCCACAGCCGCGATACACTGTATTCCCACCTGAGCCAGACGAAGAATCAAGAATCAAAAATGGCAGTCCTTATTTAGCTGAGTGAAAGTCCAGGAATATACATGTAACAATCACAATTCTTTCCGTGCTAACATTATTTTTATTAATAACATGTGTAATACTAAACCAGCTGTCTTTCTACCTTTTTTAAAAAATACTGAAAGTAACACGTTTTGCATTGTAGGTGATGCAGATCCTGTGGTACCATGTGAATTCGGAGAAATGTCAAAAGGTGTTTTAACTTCATTCTGTTCAAAAGTGGAATTTAAGAAATATAGCGGGATGGCTCACAGTTCTTCAGATCAGGTGAGCTTCTTATCACCTTTTTTTGTAAATTCGCAGTCAACATAACGAAGAATGTGTTTTTAAATTGTCTGGATCGTGCTGTGTAATGAAACCCAAAATGTATTGAGGTGCCAGTCCATAAATAAGTATATCAGATTCTCTTCTGGCGCTGTATGTTTGCGAAAAGTTAGTGTTAAACTGAGGAGCTCACACCTGGCTTCTGTAGCACAAAATTGAATTTACTGTACCAAATATAAAGCACGACCTGCGTTTTTAGAGTTCATGGCATTTTTCCCAATTGCAATAGGAAATCGTTATAAATTGCAAGTTTAAACCTGGGATACAGTGTTTAAAATACTTTTAACTTTACAAATCGATTCAACAGAGGATTTAGCTTAAGTCAACTCACAGTTTTCACTACAGTGTTACTTATTTAGTAAAACCATATTGGTGGATTCACCATGGTACATTAGAGCAGGGCTGTCACTGTAGGCCATGAGAGCCAGCTACTTTCAAAAGAAACAACAGGAAAAACAGAACCAAAGGAATTTTAAGCTGTTCAGTTCCCTGCCTACAAACCCCACAACTTGAAATAATAGTGACTGTTGCAGCCCTGATGGGAGGGAGGAGATAAAGGAGAGAGAGCTCAGAGCTGGGATACATTATTGAGCTTAATTGTGGGACTTTGTGTATTAATTTTTGTTTTGGTCGTTGAGTTATCTTGGCAAGGTGATCCTGCAAAAATTTGGCAATAAATGTTTCCTCTTGGCTGTTAGAAAGAAGTTTAAGGCAGAAAGTAATCTTTTGAGCTGATTAATTGACTTATTCATCTAATTGTTGTTTCAGGAAATGAAGGATGTTATGCAGTGGCTTAATACTGTATTACCCAGCAATTAACTGCAGGCATAGTTAACCCTCTCTTTGTTAAATTGGGCTGCCTTTGTACAAATGTGATCTTCCTGGAATGAAGAATGTAATATATGCAAGTCTTTATTATCACATCAAACATAAGACAGCTGCTGTAATAATCAGAAATAAGTTAACACCTTAACCTTTTTTTTGCAAAAGTAGGTCAAGAGTTAGTTCCTGTTTACACGTATCCGTTTTCTTTACGGATACGGCTTCCGTCACACGTATCCTATGAAAACGGAACTTTTCGAAAACGCTCTCCAGAGTGGAACTTTTTGAAAACGCTGTTTTCGCTTGTACGTGCGGACAGACGAAAACGGAACTTTTCGAAAACGCTGAGCTCACACTACTATTAGTTTCAATCCACTCCGCGCAATATTAGAAACTTAGTCAAGGTGGCGGACTGGCGCTTCCCTTCCCTGTCTTTTATACTTGGGCTTATTTCAACCTAATTCAATTCTTCAAGCTGATTATTCCAGGAGGCGGCAGAACATTATCAGGTTACTTTCGCTACCCGTGTCAAGAGGCATAAGCATACGTGACGCATATTTATAACCACAGTTTGACGGTCACGTGGAGTGAAGTGGGTCATAACCACTAGTTGTAGTGTGGGTCAAGTGGTTTTAACGTATTAACGTATGCGTCAAGCATGCGCCAAGCATGCGCAGTCGGGTAAGTTATCGTTTTCAACTCGATTCATCGTCTAGAAAACAAAGCGAAAACACTGCGAGTGGACGCGAATTGTTTTGAAACGGAGAAAAAAGTAGCATTTTCAAACAAATACGGATACGTGTGAACAGGCCGACAGGGCCTTATTCTGTGGTAATCATTGATCAGCAAAATTCAAAACGAAGGATTTTCAATGAGCTAGGGGGGTTTTACCGCTGTAAAATTCTTGGAAGCGAGTGCCATGTTGCTTGCTTTTTAAAATATCTGTTCTGCTTAATAGCAAACTGTGATTTTCAGATTTGATCCTCTGCTCTCAGGAGAAGAATAATAATTCATGATGGTTTTAGAAAGCACAGAAAATTTGTATCACCTTTTTCAGAACCAAATGGTCAAAATCTCTTTCTACATATAGATTCAAACCCAAAGAGGTAAAAACCACACCCTTTGGTGAAATTAAACGTATAATTATAGCTTATTATTTAGAAGGGAGCGCCTCACCTCAGAGGAATTTTCTGATTTTACTTCTACCGTGTTTCCTACATTTAGCGCCCACGGACTCATTTCTTTTTTCCGTGCTATGAGCAGGGCGGTTGTTGGAAAGAGAGAGAAGCAGACAGCTTAATACAGGCTGCGGACTTCAAAGATTTGCATGTTATGGTTATTGGCCACTGCAGAAAAATACCATAACATACCATAATGCTCTTTGTTTGTCACCCCAAAATTTTCAGTTTCTCTTGGGGCCATTTTAACCCCCAAGAGAAACTTAAGGCAATGCTTATTCAAAATTTTGGAGTGACAAACAAAGAGCCTTATGATATTTTCTGTAGTGGTCAATTGAAATGTGCGCGTGCAAAGGAATTAGGTAAAAATAACTTAGCACCCGACGAATGTAGACACAGAGACCTCATGAAGCATCCCATACAGGGGGTAGTGGTTGTCTGTTTGGTGTTGTTTTTTAACTGTATAGATAATACAGCGACTAAAGTAATAAAATAAAAATCTGGATATTGGAGTTGATGATTTGCTTATCATTTAATCGAAATAAGTGGCATAAAAGCGCGATTTAAACAAAAGACCTACTTCATTGGAATGCATATCGTTTTTTTCCGTCAGAACAACGGTCAGATTCGAATTGCTGATATGGAGCATGTTCGCTCCGAACTTCAAAACAGCAATGGAAGTTCAAATTCCATTTGGAAAGTCCTAAATCGTTGCCTAACTCATAAAGATTCACCACTGAGCAAAACAGAAGATCCTTTTTCTCAAGCGAACAAATTCAACGAGAATTACAACTCGGTCGGCATATCTGCGGCTTTAAAGGGAAAACCTCTTGCCGAAGAACATGGATTTCACTCTTTAAATGATAAATCCATACAACCTCTTATGAACAGCTGTTTGCATGATGACAGGTGTCCTCTATTTGAATTTCGCAAGTGATGGAAAAAGAAGTCGGAAAGATTATCAGATCCTTACTGTCGAACAAAGCTCCCGGCCCGGATAAAGTCACAGCCAGGATATTGAAAAACAGCTTACCAATAACACTCGCTAAAATAGCTGAAGTCATCCCTGTTCTTAAATCAGGTGACCCGGACGAGCCTTCCACTACACGCCCGATATATCTCCTCCCCATTATGTCCAAGGAGGGCAGCACGCTCACAGTTTGTTAATTTTCTAGACTAAAATGAAAAAAATTCAGAACTGAAAAGTGTTAATAGGATATTCCACTCGACCGAAACTGCGCTACTTTATTTCACAGATGAAAGAGAAAAAAGCTGGAAAAACGTATCCGTGATCGTCCTTTTAAACATGTCTAAGGCGTTCGATATAGCATACGTCACGATCTGCTGTGTCAAAACTACCTGTTGGAACAAACTACCCAACAAACTACCCAAAAACGTGAAGGAAGTAGCAGATTGCCGAAATTCTAAGAAGAGACTTATGAATATGTTCTTAAAATGACTTTGATCATATTCATACTTATAACTAGTTGACTAGTTTAATTATTTGTTCTTGTATCTAGTTAGTTGTTAAATAGTTAGCTCATTATGACTGAAAAGCCCTGTAAAGGGAGTCTTAATAAATGTATGTATGTCAAATAAACTGCTTTACCAAATCAACTTACTTCTTGAAAACAATGTTTATTTGTATGTGAATTTAGGCAATAGACCTCTTAGGGCCTGTTTACAGGGAGGTGGGGGACCCCAGATAGGTGAGGTGTAACATGTGGCGGGTCACCCAACCAATCATGTAAACCTGATCAAATAAAAAATGAGACATTATATGAACAGACGGGTTACCCCACCCACCTAGGGTCCCCCACCCACCTAAGGGTCCCCCACCCACCTAGGGTCCCCCACCCACCTAGGGTCCCCCACCCACCTAAGGGTCCCCCACCTCCATGTAAACAGGCCCTTAAGCTTATCTGGTTTGTTTCCCCAATGTAAGTCGTGATAATTCCAGAGATCTTCATTGGGAAAACAAAACTTACAAGCTTTAGAGGTCAATGCATATTTTGTTGGGTCCCATGACATGACATTGTTGAAATGGTACAGTGTACGTTTTCAACTGAATAATCGAGTGTAGCTTTTTTTGAGAGTCGAGGGGAGAATGTAGAGGGTCGAGGGTAAAATGTCGAGGGTCGAGGGAAGAATGTCGAGGGTCGATAAAATGACAGATTTTTTTCCGGGCGAGTAAAAAACATTCCTTGCGAATTTTATCGACAATTTTCATGTCGGAACCCCATGTTACTCAAACTAAGCCTTTAAATCCTTACGGCATCAACATGAGAGGAGTGTACGTAATCAGAAGACAAATAAACCTGTCACGCTTTGCGCCTTTTTGCCGTGTTTGTTCGCTTTTCTCCATAGCCAATGGCCATTTTCGAAATACTTCCATTCAAAAGCTTTTCAAAAATACGTTTGCTTAGACAGGAGAATAAATCCGAAAAAAATAAATCGTAGGGAGATACCTGAGTGAATTAAGCGGTAACCCTTTAACAGATTAAATCTATTTAGATTATGTAGTTACATCTTCCATTTTATATGATTTAGTATCATTTATTTTATTTTATTCATTTTTCAGTATTTTTGAGGACCACAAGTTTAATAGCTTTGGCTATTTAGGGTTCGAAACTCTCTTTAAATAGATTGCTTTCACGTGATGTGTCTACGTGTGTTTTGATCAGTTATATTTTATTTGCAGTTGCTTATTGTATGTTATCTTTTTTGTTTCTCTGTATTAGCATTTTTTTGGTTGTATCCACTTAATTAGGAATTCATTATATTTTTCCATCTGTTAGGACAATGTATTAGCTTTACTTTTTTTGTCCTTTATCTCTTAAGTTATTTCTTAATTAACTCTTCGTTTCTGTAAACTAGTTTAACCTATTGAGAAATAAAACACTACTACTACTTACTGCTTACCCTCTTTAAATAAAGAGAGCGTTTTCGAATCGTTGCGTTTTCGATAACTGTGGACGGAAGGCCTAAACGTATCAAAATGTGCAGGCGTTTTCGTTTTGACTTACTTTCAAGAGTGTTATCAAAACGCGCGATGCTTTCTCGATGAAAACTCTCAGCTCATAAATGTGGTAGGAAGGCCCAAACGCACCGACATGTATGCGTTTTCCAACGAAAACGCTTTTGTGTTGACAGGGCCTAAAATAAAGCGCCTCAAAAACATGCAAGCAGCGAAACAAACAACATACAAATTCTCGTTGCATGATAGTATTTTTGAAAAAGATGTAGGAAACTATGATTTAAAATGAAATTAAATGTACAGATATGTTGTAATACGTTATCCTTTGTACACTTTGTACACTATCATGTCGCGCAAAGACAAGGCAATTAAATCATAAGATTAAGCTACAACATATAAATCGAGTAATCTTTCTTTGCAAATGTCGTTAAAGTAATAAGATCTTTCTAGTAATCTTTCGTCGTCATGAGTATGATCTGTATAATTCAATGAAGAGTCCAAAATGCGGTCACAAATTTGCAAGAGACGGGTCATGCCATGGACGCTGAAAGGTACGTATTTTTTGCTTATTTGGAGCATAAAAAACGTGGTTGATGTCCTCTTTTTTGGCTGGAAACTTTTGCACAAAATAGATTTTCAGTGGCTATTGTATTATGGTACAACTATAACCCGCGGGCGCAGGATTGGTCTATTCGTTTTCGCCTCAGCATTCAACATTCAAGGAACATGCGCGGCTCGAATTCCGCGGCTTCTCGTCTTTCAAAACGTCTCTAATCTGTGACATACAGACTAAACAACCATTCACCCTGCATACTTTCATATCAGTCAATTTTGCTAATAGGTAACTCGAACAAATCAAGCTCTAAACAATGAATATTTTTCAGTCGACTTGCTGCAATCTGTCAAGAAACTTAGACGCTTCCCAGTAAGCTGAGCCAAGGTAACTTTCCACTGAAAAGTCAAATTCTTGAAGATTCGACGCAGTAAAGCCAGTTACAGGGGTCGGACCTGATCTTGGTGTCTGAAGCGGTGAAGAAAACAAGTGTCCAAGTGAAGTGTTAGCTTTTCCGTTAGAAACCCACTCCATCACCTGGAAAAGAAATAAACGAGTTAGTTTCTCAAGAAACTTATTGTTGCTACGTTTAGTTTAATCATTTCACTCCTTGACTTTACAAAGTGGCCACCCAACCTTGTTCATGGCGCTTTACCCTAGCGAAGGAAAAAGTGCCTTGAAAAGCTAATGTTTCGAGCGCTAACGCTTCACGAGGCTGGGTTCTTCAGATGAAAGGTTCAAAACCCAAGCCGTTTTGAGCCTTCTCCAGTTTAAAAATACGCTTGAATTGTCTCTAAACCGCTTTACTCTCCATTGCTCAATGTTCAACCCTCTTTAACTTTTATCTAATAAGACGCAACAACCCGGCAGGCATATGGACTTCTGCTTTTGTTTTCGCGCCTTAAGTCATCTCAGATAACGGATAGTCCCTTTACACAGACCCCTAGGGAAAAGCCTTACCCTGGTTACCACAGTTTCTCCTCGCTTACGGTGGAATTGGCCTGCGGTTGACACATCGGTTCACTAAAGACTTAACCAAAACTGGAAACTACGCATAAACTACACATGTTTCTGACACCAAGGGTAGAGTAGCCCGCGTTTCGGACGGAATTCATTATACGCTTGTGAAAATTATCCACTTAGAATTACGTCAGTGATAGCCTGAGAAAAAACAGCCGATGTTTCAGGAAGCCATCACTATTTCCTCGCGATATGACGTCTGAGGAGAGAGTGCAGAAATTCCACACTGATAACTGGTCGCTACTTCTGGGTAGTGCTTCTGATTGGTCGCACTGCAAGGGAAATTTGCTTTAACCAATCATAAACACTACCCTGATCTGGGTAGTGAAACGTCATCACTATGGATTTGTGCGCTCGTTCCTCATTCTTCAGTTCGCAAGGTACATGTGTCCAGTGGTGGGGTCGCAAAATGTCGGCTGTTCTCTAATGCTAAGTCTGTGACGCAGGTAATACCTAATGCCGACGGGCAAGAGGTCTTAATAGGACAATTGCACGATGACGTCATTTGACTATTTCTTGTAATTGGCTAAAATCCTCAGTGGGGTTGAGAAATTTAAATAACAAAGCAAAACCGAAATGAATTCTGGTAGTTGTAGTCAAATATCGTCATCGTGCAATTGTCCTATTGCAAAAGTGCGCGCTCAAAAAGAAGAGTGTATCTTTACTGACCTTTGGATTGGCTTTTGTCTGGTTGTTGTTTAATTCTTTGTCATCATGTTTTTCAAGCAGTTCCTTCAATGATTCAATTTGCGCCAATAGCTCCTGTCTCTCGTTCACTAAATCTTGCACTGCTTCTGGTTGTAGGTTGTTTTGTATTTCAACATCATGTTCTTTTGATCTTAACCGCGTTTGTAAAACAAGCAGCTGTTCCTTTATACGCTGATTTTCCTCTGCATATCGTTGCGCCTCAAGAGATGAACTTGGCGAGGCCATTAAAGAAGACTCTAGTAATGACTCCACATTCAGTTGGTTCCCAGTCTCGCTGCGAATAAATTCGCTGACGAAAACCTGGGGCTGAGTGTTACTTTTAGGTGTTGAGGTCACAGGAATTCGTCCTTTTAACCTTTCAACTTCCTCTTCTAATTTATCAACCTGAGACTGTAAACGTTTACCTTGTTTTAACAAGAAGTCGTTTTCTTCCCGTAGTTTTGAATTTTCTTGCTCGATTCTTACTTGATTTTCCTTTGATTCTCGCAATTGATTCTTCAAAGTCATATTATCTGATAAACTTTCTTTTTCCTGACTTTCTTCTTCTTGTTTCTCCCTCTCACTCAATGCCTCTTTGAGAAATCTATTTTCTATCTCAAGATTTTCCTTGTCTTGCATCAATTTTTCATTCTCCTTTTCAATACTGGGCAAATCAACTCCTTCTCTGTGACCCGATTTTCTCAAGCTTTCCGTTTCGAGATAAAGAACTTGATTTTGCCTTCTAAGAACTTCATTTGCTCGCTTCAGAGCTTGAATTTCGCTTTTCTTTTTGTTAATATCGCGTTGTAGAATTTCTAACTCGTCCTCTAATCTAACCTGTTCTTTCATCGAAGAAGAAAGCTGTTCCTTTGTTTGATTCAGATCATCAGGTTCAAGAAGGCTTGTTTGTAATCCCATTTCGATTCTCGGAGTGAGGAGAACTTCCTCGTACTTCTCCTTTTCCTCTTTGTGTTTTTGCTTTAGAGCTAAAAACTTTTCTTTTAATTTGTTATACTTTTCTTGCATTTTGTTCAGTTCGTCCTTACATGACTCTATTTCGCCCGTCAACTTTCCTCTGTCCATCTCCGACTCAGTCAATGATCTACTAAGTTTCTCGACTTCTTCATGTTCTTCTGACTGCGCTTTCTCACTTTGAGAAACATAACGGGAAAACTTTTCTTTTTCTTTTATCAGTTCACCTCTAAGCTCGTTATTGTGGCTTTTAAGATCAGAGATGACTCTCTCTGATTTGATTTTCTCTTGTTCTGCTTGATGCATATGCGTTAGGTGCTTTTCCGTTTCTAACAACACTCTTTCTCGCCCTTTCTGCTCTGTGTCAAGTACAGTGAATAACTTTGACATTTCCTCTGTTTTTCGCTTCACCTCCTCTTCTAACGCTTTAATCTTCCTAGCACTTGCTTCATCTGCTTTCATTTGTTCAGCCAGGATGTTCTTTTCATATTGCTTCTGTGTCTTTTCCAGCTCATCACGTTCAAACTTACTTCTTGACAATTCCTCAGATTGCATTCGATTGGTGTGTTGAACACTTTCCAACTGGGACTTCAAAGCTGCATTTTCTTTCGTTATTTTCTTAAGTTCTTGCTTTTGCGATTTCTGAGCGTCGCTAATTTTGAGTTGCTCTGCCGTTAAATTGGCCTCATGGGCTATCTGCTGCTGCTGAAAATCTTCAAGCATTTGTTCAAGTTCCTCTTTTTCTTTTTGTTTAGTTTCATTGAGTTTATGCGCTGTATCTAATTCAGCTTTGAGACCGACCACCGCATTGGCGTGTTCTTCGTTTACTTTAAGTTGTTCAGCCGCTAGATTAGCTTCATGTGTTTTTTTCTGTTGCTTAAATGTGTCAAGCTCTAGTTTTAGCTCATTTATCTGATTTTTTTGTTCTTCATTCAATTTGCGCTGTGCTTCCAAATCAGCTTTAAGAACCTGGACCGTCTTCGCATGCACTTCTTTAGCTGTCAGCTGTTCTGCAGTGGAGCTGGCGTCCTTTGCCTTTTGTTGTCTTCGATATTCTTCAATCTCATAATTAAGCTTTGTTATTTCTCTCTCTTGCGCTTCATTTGTGCGCCAAGCTTTCTCAAGTTGTGACTTGACATCGTCGAGTTGCTCTGCTTTCTCACTGTTTGCCTGAAGTGCAGTTTCTAAGTCGGCCTCGAGAGTCTTGATTGTCTTAGAAAATTCTTCCTCTACAGCTTCCTGATTAGATAATTTCTTTGCTTCATTATCCTTCTTACTAACATGCAACTGTTCTTTTAAGTTCTTTACCTCTTCGTCGTGTCTTGCCTGCATTTTAATCATGCGATCCTGTGAATTTTTAACAGAAAGTCTTTCCTCTTCAAGGGTTTGGCGCAACGTTTCAATCTCATAATTAGTAGACTCGATTCTTCTAGTGTTAGAGGCGGATTTACTTCTTTCGGCTTCCAGTTCTGCCTGCAGCTTCTCAATTTTTTCTTCATAGTCTTCTGCAAGTCCCTTCATCTGTTGTTCGTATTCTAAACCCAAGTTCGAACCAGGGTTTCCCGCAAAATTGTCGTTGACCGCTTGCGCAGAAACAATTGGTTCTATTTCCTGTGAATAACGAAGAGTTTGTAATTCTTCTCGGAGGTCTTCTTTCTCGATCTCAGACTGCGTTCGATAATTCTCAAGGCTTTCAATTTTCGCATGGAGTTTTTTAATTGTCTCTTCGTACTGTGAAACTTTTTTGCTGTTTTCCTCTTCATCTTCCAGTCCTCTTTTCCGCAGTTGTTGTATCTCTTGCACCAAAGCATCCTTTTCTTTTCTATACTTTTGACAATCAGCTTCGAGTACTTTGATATTTTCATTGAGCCTTAAGATAATTTCGTCAGACTTCTTCTTGTGCGCGTCAACAGCTGCAACTTTATCCTCTTTCTCTTTCTCGATGCTTTCCCCGAGTTTAGACATCTTCATTTCACTTTCTTTCAATTGCTTCTCCATTGTATTTTCTAGGTTTCGTTTTTCAGCTTCCAGCTTAGCTATCGTATTTTGCATAGTTGTAAACTCATCGATAGACTTCTCTTTAGTGGTTTTCAACTCTTCATTAAGATTCTGAAGCCGTAACTCGTAGTTCATAACCTCGGAATCCAGCTTCATATTTGTTTGACTCAATTCAGTAATCTCTTTCTGTAGATTCTCCGCAGTTGTTTTGCACTCTTCCAGTTTAGCCTCAGAGTTCATCTTTGCCTCAATCGTGCCTTCAAGCTGCTTTTCAAGTCCAGATATTTTTTGCAAGCGTTCTTCTTGCTCAGAACCTTGCTCAAGTATATTCTTGCTACGTGTTAACTGTCTTTCAAGATCCGAAACTTTAGTTTTGTATTCTTCAAGCTCTGCCTCAGTATTCTGGCTTTCTTCCCTTAAAACATCCAGTTCATATTCAAGTTCAGCAGTTCTTGTATGCAAATCCGTATCTGCCTCGGTTCTTCCTTCCATGCCTCGCAGTCTTTCCACTTCGCCTTCAAGCTCGGCGACTTTTTGTTTATACCATTCTATATCCTCTCCTAACAACCTTATTTGTTCCTCTTGATTTCCTTTTATTAACTCAATTTGTTCCCTCAGCACATGAGAGGTCTTTCGCTTTACCCCCTGATTGCCGTCATTCTTGGTGGTCTCCAATTCGCTGGAAAGATCCCCTACCACTAAATCGAATTCCCTCTTCAGATTTTCATTCTCCGATTGAAGAGTTTCCAAAGTTTCGTGAAGTTTTTCAAGTTCCCTTTCGTGTCCCCTTTTTAGTGATTTGATTTCCAGCCGAAGTTCTTCTGATGTTCTCTTTTCTTCATCAAGTTCTTTTCCTTCAATATGACTCCTCTCCGCTGCTTGCAAACGTTGTTCATAATCGGAGAGAACCTTGTCGACTTTCATTTGATGTTCCTCGTTGAGTTCGTCTCGAAGTTTTTCTTCTCTTTCTTCAGATTCTTTTTCTTGCTCTGAAAGCATGCCTTCCAATAATTCACGCGACTCGATAAATTCGTTTCGTTCCTTTTGAAGATTCTCTTTGAGCTCCCTTATCTCAATTTCATATTCTTCGAGTTTCTTGTGCATGGCTTCGCCGGCGATAACTTGATCCTCGTGACTCTGAGAATTGACTAACAATTCTTCCTTTTCTCTCTTAAATGCTTGCTCCAGTCGTTCAATGTCTTCCTGGTGTTTAGTAATCACGTCCTCGGCTTGAGTTTTGAGTTCTGTTATGGTTTTCTTCAGCACTTCTTTTTCGCTGTCAAATTCACCCTTCGCTTCTTCTAACTGAGTTTCAAACTCGTTTTTCATAATCAGCAAATCCTGAGCCATTTGGTTATCGCTTTCTTCCAGCTGACTGCTCAAATTTGCAACCTGATCTTGTAACTGTTGAATCTGGTTTTCGTAATGCTCTTTTTGCGACGCGTCCATGGAAACATTATCGCTTATTTCGATATGATTGGTCTTTTTACTCTTCAGTTCATCGATCTCCTCTTGATGCTCCCTCAAAAGCCCTTTTTTCTCTTGTTCAAACGCAATCTTAAGCTCGCTTAAGCTCTCTTGGAACTCAAACTCTTGATTTTCTACCTTCTCGACCGCTTCGGATGCCTTCATAATTTGAGTTTGAAGCTTTTCCTTAAGAACTGTAATCTCGTCTTCATAATTACTCTGTAGTGCTGCCATTTGCTCCTTCAAAGCCTCAACTTCAGGTGAATGATCACGAGATCCAACGTCACTGGAATCGTAATCAGATTCCTTCTTTAATTCCGCCACTCGTTTCCAGCGCTCTTCCCTGAGTTTTAAATCCTCCATCTCCTTCCTCAACATTTCCAGCTCGATTTCGTGTTCACTGTTTATTTCTTCAAGCTCTTTCTTCAGTTCCCTGGTTTCCTGTCTGTGGCGTCCCTCCATCTCCTGTATGTATCTGTCTTTTTTCTGGAGTGTTTCTTGAAGAGCGTTTTGATCTTCGGTTACCTGGCAAATGAAGTATGTTTTAGTTCTCCGATACTAAGAATATAAAATAAAAAGTATGGACGGACAAGAATATAACAAACGATAATAAAAAATGAAGACGAACGTCCAACTCCATAGCCTGGAGTTCTTAACGTTACGTAGCGAACTTTCGCGCCAAGGTCAGTGATAAACGATTGGCGATCGAGGCACGTAATGTAGCAGTTATGCAGTAGGAAGCGCGAGAAGGGCCCTTCCCAGGGGTAGTGACAACATTGGGGCAAGCCTTGAATTGACAGAGACTAGAAACGGTACAGCTTCTTGCATATGTTAAGAATGGATACATCGCGTGCCTGGCGAAGAGAGTACATTTTACAGTTCAACCCCCCTCTCCCCGCCCCCCAACCGCCCAGGTTGGAAAAAAACTCCCAAACAGACTTTCCTCTCTGTCCTAAACAGGAAAGACCATTTCGAGAAAGTCTGTCTTAATTGTGACAAGGGTATTGTTTGCACGATTGAGTTGATTTGTTTGATGAAATTCATTTGTGCTCCAAGTATACAAAAGCATTGACTATAACGTCTATTTTCTCCATCGCAATTGCCAATAAATGGCTTTAAAACAGGACGGGGCGCATTTTGCCCTTTGTCTTAAACAGGGTGATAAAATTGAGGGTGTTGTCCTAAAAAGGGTACGTATTTTAGGAATTTTTTGTCCTCAACAAGGTCAGGCTTTCAAACCCTTACCTGCTCACCTCTATGTTGGACTCTCCGGACGCACGGGAAACAAGTTAGTTACACATCAGCTCTCCTATCGATCCAATCTGTTCTAAGTTTTTGTCATGAAAATTCGCCTTAACTATAGAAATGTATCTTGTTAATCGATGTTCCTCTAATTGCTTTGATCTAATTACTTGATAGCAAAATGGTCAATGCCCAGTTCCGGTCAACCTCTTCGCCCCCCGGGCAGACTCCACTAGCACAATTCAGTTAAAAAGATGCTGTTGAAATTTCAGCGCCATAAAGAGTACCTACCTGTTGTAGGTCAAACGAACTTTTGCTTCTCATCATTTCATGCTCTTCCATTAAACTTTCGCATTCCTCGGACTTCCGCGATAACTTATCACTGATATCATGGAGCGTGTCATCCTTCTCTTGCACTTGTTTCTGTAGGTTCATCACCATCTCTGTTAATATTTTGGGGTCCTTTGGGAGTTCTGGGTTTGAATTAGTTCTTCCATTTACCTGCGCAACAAGGAGAAAACAGTTTATATACCGTACTATCTAGGTGACATTAGCACTGAAAACAAGAGAGAGACTAAAATTCCTGATTTTTTTTGTTGGGTTTTTATATTTTCTAATTTATACTCGGTTATTTCTTTCACCACATTTCGAATGAAGTGACGAATTGATATTGTTTGTTGTGAATATTTTAGCCCAGATCTCACTCATAAGCAAGTAGTATGCCGTCATCTATTTACCCTGAAAAATAGCAAGTCTTACTTGTAATGATATCCATAAAGGCTAACCATTTATCTAATTAACATTGAGAATTAACAACCTGTTATACTTCTTTTTTTCCCCATCACTGAATAAATAAAGAAGTAGAGGGGAACACGTGACGTAGTCTCCCTGAGTGCTCTAGCTGCTTCTTAAGTGCTTTACAACAGATAACATTGTATAATATACAGATTTAGCCACGGCTAAAAGTAAAGCTCTGGTTAATATAGAATATAGAAACTAAAAAGTAAGACCGTGTAATGCTAAACGGCGACGGCAATAAGAACAGAATCAAAATCAATAGATCTAATTAGCGAAAAAACAAATTAGCACGTAAAGCAAACTTTTTTGTACATTTCTTTGCCGTTGTTTTGCACGACTTAAACGTGAAACGTCCTGGTTACTTATAGTATTTTTAAGATGGAATTGTCGTGTGTTCTCACCAAAAATTTTGTTACTTGTTTCCTGTTCACTTTTATTTTTTCACGGCTGCTCATTTTCACATTGCCAGCATTTCTCATTTTCTTACCGCCGCTATGAAATGTTCACGTTTTTATTCGTCTCCTTTGTTTTCAATCACTCACTCTAGCTCTCACGTGAGTGTAGACATCCAAAATTACGTCGAAAAATTCTCGACCTTGTGGTTATTTTTCACCTAAAAGTCTGGGTGGCCACGCGATTTCCTGCCAAATAAAACCTTCAGTTACATTTGGGTTGCAATACCTGTTAATTGAGTTGTTTTACATTGGCGTGCCTGTGGTGAGGACGGACGGGCGATCGGACGTACTGTCACGTGACTATCAAAATTTTCCGGATGCATAGGTAACCAAATTTTCTTACCCATG